AAAAAAATACCACCCCTACCTCTCCCTAGTCGGTCAAATTGTGTTGGTTTCTCCGCAAAGTTGTATTTAACCCGAAGCTTGTATTCCACATTTTTCCAACATAAAACAGCCATTCCAAATTATTTTGAGGTCTCGTTTTCAAACCACTTTTAGTTTTTCACATAACGTATAACTAATTACCTAACGAGGCTCAAGGCGCCTTGAGATGAATAGCACCGGTGCAAAAAGTCTAAAACATTTTCACGAACAATACAATCATTTTCCTTCATACATAATGATCTTTATAACAATCTACAACTTTCCGGGTGCTTAGGCGTAACATTACAGACGCCCGGATGAGGGATTTCTATTTTATCATTTTTAACCACCATGTTTCAAGGCTAGGGTAACAAAAAAGTTAAACTATGTCTTCTCTGAACTAAATTGGTAACGAAAAACGCACAGAACGTTTGCTTTTGTATTTGCTTTGGATTGGACAATTTATATTATATTAGGATAAAAATTGCTTGGTAATTTTCGTTTAAGATAAAAACGGTTTTTGGAAAGTATGAAATAGCTTTATGTTTTGCTTGCCTAGCCTTCAATGTTAACATGTATTTTTTGTTGCTACAGTCATCAACTGACTTCCCACACACAAAGGACTCCTTCGCGCCTGGAAATTAGCTTAAAACATAGAGCAGTTTCCAGCTCGGTGCGGGAAAGTTTTGTGAATGGACTAAAAATTTCACGGTGCTTTCTCCACCAATCGGATGCACACTGACGTTTTCCCGCGTTTCCCACCATTTGTGGAACTTGTCGCTGTTCCAAATAGCAATCTAATTGGCTGATGATTTATTGAGTTTTTACTGGCTAAAGTTTATCCCTATGGCTATACAAAACTTGGAAACAACAGAAGTGAAAACTGCTCTAAGTCTTTGCTTTTAGGCAGTGATAAGAAAGTTCCCTAAAACGGAAAAAATGCCAAGCAGCTGACCCTCTGCTAATATATAAATACTTACTTAAATTAACATACAGGGAAAACTGGAAAAGGCATCTAAGGAATTATTCTGGAAAGTGATATCATTGCCTAATTTCAAACCGAGTGGGGCCTGGTTACGAGTCCATTCATTATGGGATAAACAATATGAGACCCACAAAGTCAGAAAGTGATGACGTTTATTGGGCCAATATTGAACGAGATACACCCATTCAAAACTCCACAATTTACTCAAAAAATGTATAGACGGCAATTCATACATCTCTCGGTAAAATTTCCAGTTTTTAAATAGATGTATCTTGATCAGTATTGGCCCGGTTTACACCAAACTTGGTAATTTTGCAAAACTCGGTGTGCTCTTTCTGACTGAGGGTCTCACGTTGTTTATCCCCATGATACACTGACTCCTCGGTTTGAAATTAGGTATTGACCACGAGTGTAATAAAACTGAGGATTTCGAAACATGCAACTTCAAAACAATTCCAGGGCCACCCTTGTCCAGTCATGTTTTCCTGCCACTATAGATTATCTAAAAAGTCGTCAAAAATTGGACGATATACTTACGCAAATACGCTAGGGTTGTCACATTTGTGTTAACGATTAGATGCGCTTTGATTTTCTTTTGCAAGATTTGACAAAAGTATGAAGAATTGCAAAAGATACTGCAAGAACATCCTTGTAAACGTTTAAGGTAAAGCAAAACAAACAAACAAATAGACAACAAATAAACAGACCATTAAGATTATTACAACATAAAAAGCAATACTAACTAGTAATAATGACCGTGATAATACCATGGGAACTAAGGATGCAAACAAAGAACATTCTGAATCGACAGGCAACCAATAAAATTAATCTATCTTTATCTACATCCCAGCCGACAGGGAAATTATAAAATTCTGTCTCTCCAAACAGGTTAATTTAAGCACTCATAAATTAAATTAATACTACAGAAAATTTGCCTTAAATAATAAGGCAAAATGCATGCATGAACTATTTATAAATCTTACCAAAACAATTAAATGGATTTAAAAACCGTTAAGTCAAAAGTTAAAGTTTAAAACTGGTTGATGATTCTGCTAATTTTTAGGATTAACAAGTTAAAAATTCTTATTATTTAATTTTTTTAAATGCTTTCAGTTGCATTTTACTATTTTTCATGTGCAAGTTTCAAATAAATCTTTGGACTGGAGATTGAGTGTCAGAAGCATGGATCAACATTGTGCAATAATGAATTCGAAAACAATAAAATAAGATTAGGTGTTGACATGACCTTCAGTGTTATTTGTCAAAAATGGTGAAACCATTCACCATGGAAATCAGAGCTTGGTTAATTGTTCATTCTTTCATAGTTTTCTTAGCCTTGACTCTCAACAGCTTTAGATTTAGATTTTAATAGGCCCAATTCGAATGTCAAAATTTTCATGTAACGAAGTTAATACCTTTTTGGGTCTACCCAAATGATACAAGTTCGAAGATTGATTTAACTGTCAAACTCAATTCATTTTCACCATGTACAATGATCTGCAATGCTTACCAGAAATTTATGCATCAGATTTAGCACATAAAAAGTTCAATGTTTCGAATCAAGTCGCTCCATAGTTGAAATTCAAAACTAGACATGTCAGACTTCAAACCTTTTCATGCGCTTACTTGAAGGAATAGGTTTAAAGACATGAAAACTTGGACGCTGGAACTGAGCCTACGTTTTCTTTGGTTCAATTTACATTGTAGTTTTGACAAGAACTACTGTGTCAAGTCAAATTTCTCAGTATTATCTTGAGGCAGATGCCTGCCTTTCTTCCATCATGCTGGTTAGCTTACGCTGAAGCAGTTCCTCTGAAGGAGTTCTTTTCGTCGGTGGTTGACTGCTCTTGTCGTCCTGTAGCAGGGCTCGCTTACGGCTACTATCTCCTGCACCTTGCTTCAGCATCTCATTGATGTCTCGAAGTTTCTACAAACAGAAGAAACCTTTATTACTCAAGCCCATCCACATGAATTGTGTACACAATCTGCAAGGCTGTGCTCTGAGAAAAATTGAAGGAAGCCCTGTGCTTTGAACCTGTGAAATACAGGGTACCCAGCATCTAGTTGCTGCTAGAGCACAGCCCTGCATCACTCACCTCATACAAATTGTTTCTATCTTAAAATATTATGGTAACAGATAAAATATTTACCTCCGCTGGACTTTCTTTGAAGCAATACAACAGCCTTGTTGTTGGAGTCATTGAAACCCCTGAAAGGAGAATATTATGTTATTGTTTTATTAAGTCTATACACTTAATAAGAGCTTGGCTTATAAGTGAATACATCCGCATTTAGTAGAGTTGTAATGCACTGAAAAAGAATTGTTTTCAAAAACTATTGGCTTTAAGCCAAGACGCCCTCTTGGGCTCAAATTTCACTTAACTTAAGCTTTAATTTGTGTAAAAATCGCTCGGCTTATAGCCAAATACATACGGTAGATATTAGGACTAAAGCTAATGGAAACTAAGAACAACCCAAATTAAACATAAAATGACTCCCCTATGTAACACTAAAGGAACACATACCATTCTTGTGAGGAGATATGTACACAGGGTGTCTCGTGGACACTTTTCGTCGAGGTGAATGAGCTTGATTTCTCATCACTGGCAAAGGAGAAAGTGGAGGCGAGTCCAACTGGTGGGAAAAAAAGCATGTTTTGAGTGTCAATGTATTTAGCATGAAAATACTATTAGTGAAGACTACTTTGGCCATTTTACATGGTCATTGGAGCCATATGAAGGTCTAGCTGTTTGCAAGGCAAACGCGTTACCTTCATTAAACGGAGTCATTTAAAAACAGAGTATTGGTCTGGCCCTGGGAATTGAACTCCCACTCTGCTGTGAAGTCATTAACCAACTGAACTAGTCCTGCCATCATTAGCTACTGCTTTTGTGGTTGAAGAAGAAGAACAAGTAGAAAAACAAGTTACAGCAACACAGGTTACAAGATACGGTAACAAGTTACCGGCAGTTGCCTAAGACACAATAGACCTTCCAAGCCTGATTACCATGTCAAAACTGAAATACTGTTACGAATGAAGGTTTCATTCCTTATCACGTCAAGATGTAGCACAATTGAAAAACATCTTAGAAAACAACCACGGCAAAAACTCACCGCTCTATCCCCAGCTGAAAACTTGAGAGCAAAGTTCTTCACTCTTTTGATAAACACCTGGATAAAATGGGTAAATAAATGCATCAGTTAAGAGAAATGACACATTTGTCCTTTTTTGAAAAACAAAAGTAATATTTTATTGTGGGCGACAAGAGGAACTTGTAATCCTCATCTCCAAGTTGCAATATTATGTATGTTGTGCATGCTTGGCACAAATGAAATGCATAGAATGCTATCTGATCATGCACATTAGTACCGTCAATCTTAATCTCATCACAGGGTTCGTACAAATTTTTGGGAACCAAATTCCAGACTTTTTCCACACTTTTTCCCAAAACAATAATTTCTTTTTGCAGACTCAAGGTTATCAAATAGTGATCAATAGACTTTAACAGACTTTTCCCAGGTCTGGAAAATTGTTGGGTAAAATTTAAGACTTTTTCAAGAATTCAAGACTGTACGAACCAGCTTTGGAGCAAGAGCGTTTTCTACTTCAATCAGAAGCCTGAAGCTTGCCCACACTCCCTTACCTTAGTTTATTACAAGTTATAATCCTTGCTTTTGATTATTTACTTACCTTGTTGTAGAACTCTATAAGATCTCCTCTCTCCCCATCAATGTTTGGACTGTTTTCAGTGCTGCTTGATCCTGACGTATGTGCACTTGCTGGAGGAGGTGTTGATGGGACAGTACTTGCACTCCTTACAGGGCTTGCTCTTGCACTACTAGCACCTTGAACTGGGCTTGCTGGTCCACTACTACCTGGTTCACTTTTAATACCTGCAATAAAATGCAGGATGAAAAATCCAGCTGCCACATCAGGAAATAACATGACTACTTGTATGGGGTGCTTGCCACAACCCTCTGGTGATTTTTTTCACTAGATTTGCCATTCTAATAACAGCCGAATGTTTATCTTTGTCACTGCAAACTATGTAGGCTATACACGCCAACACCTTTTTCAACGCATTGGTGAACATAAACATTCCGCGATTGACAAATACCTGCACAACGTACACAATCAAATGGATAAAAGATCTACATGACCAATTTGCCATCCTGAAGAATTGCTGTGGAAAGCTGGATTGCTTAATTCACGAAGAGAGGAGAAACCTAAACTTAACACCCAATCTGACTCTATCAAAGCAACACTATTTACCTGATAAGTAGCACTTTTTACACTTCATATTATATTTTTCTCTTTTAATCACATACAACTAAACTTTCGCACACAACTCCCTATATAATGAACTCATGGAATTAGGATTTACATAAATTGAAAATGATGTCATCAAAACATCATTCATTGCTATCGCTAAGAATTGCCATTTTTGCCATTATTTACTATACACTTCAGTAACATCAACTTATGAAGGTGTGACACAAAATTGTTCTCCCACCCCACCCATGATAAAAGACATTGAAGGCAACAACACTCAGGATTTTTACATTCTTGATGTACTTCTGCACCTCTACTGGCAATCCAAACAAAGGGAAGATCTAACTATTTTCAAAGAGCTACCAATAATCATTGTATTAATAGAAAGTTTAAGATTATTACCACAACAGCAAGGATAAAGGCAACACAGTAATGCTTCAATTAAGGAAAACAGCAATTCTGCACATGTATAACACTTTCGTTGCTGTAATTGTACAAAATTTAATACAACACAAGACTTCCAATACAAGGTTTTCTGGAGGATGCAATATCATATAAATGGCAGCATCTTCCTCAGGTATTCTGATCTGGGTGATTGATCCAGGGTACTCATAAACTAAGGCAGAAACACTACGTTGAAAATATTATCTCACCTCTCGCTCCACCATCACTACCACTGCTTCCAAGTGGAGCCCGCCTCCTTCCTCTAAGAAGAACACTTCTGTAAACCTTTAAGAGAAAGTTTGAAAAGAGGTTTTGTAAATAAGCAAGCAGAGGTGAACTTACAGGAAGTAAACAAAGGGCTTACATGGCTGACAGCTTGGGGCTGGGTGCGATAACACTTCATAATGTTTTGAAAAGACAGTTCTGCATTGGTAACCTGCAAAAAACAAGCAATAGATGATATTAAAAATGCTAGCACCTTTTCATTAATTTATCACAATACTGCCATGCAAAGTAAACTAACTACAAAAAGTTAAAGCAAGTTAAACCATCTCCATCATGTAGCAAACGCATTCACAAAATAGGGCATTAGCTTATCCAAGTTTTCTAGTTTTCCCACAACATAGAAATGCTGTGTTGAACTGGTCAAAGTTTTAACAACATCTGGAATGTTTTGTATTTGACCGAGGTAATATTTCATGATTTCTAGGCCCACAATGTGGTACAGCATATTCAGGATTAAGAGCTAAGATTGAGTGACTAACTGCCAAAAGAAAAACAAAACAATAGACAACAACACAAGCAAACAAATAAACAGAAAATAAATCAAAGCTCAATTATGTACCTTTCCCATAACATATATAGAACACATCAATATCTGATCAATGTGTCTGTCCTTCATTAACTCTGTCATGTTCATCAGCGTATGTTCAAAGCAAGTCCACATTCTGCAAATCAGATAATTTTAGCAAGAAAGTGATAGTGAGCATTTTGTGATCATAAAACATCTTAGAGGAAAAATTTCAGACAATACATGAACTCAATTGTCAGTCTTTGCTGTGAAACTCAGAAAAATGTGAACACCAGAATTTTTGCGAGAACATTATTACATTGTGAGGAAGAAACCAATCAGGAAAATTAAGCCACAAGCAGCAAGGGTAAGTAGTTTCTGGTTTTCTAATGTGCTTGCAGTGCATCCTAACCTTTATTGTTTTCAAAATACTTCAGGTGTTCATCAGCATTAATGGCAAAGGACTGGGGATTTCCCTCAGCTGCTATGAGCATGACGCTGAGATACTTTCATAAGAGACAAAAGGAACATGGAACCAAAAGATCTTCCTATCTCTAACTGTTCAATTCCCTACCATGCATAATTATACCCAGTAACTTGAAATCTTAGTGACAGCCCTGGTTTTAGCTTTTCTTAGTTTGACAGTAAACAGGATGGTAAACAAATATACAGTCAAACGCGGCTTTACAATCACCCACGTATTACGGACAATTCGCTTTGACCATGAGGAAAGAAAGCCCTTACATTTTCTCTAAATTCAACCCACTCAATANCCATAACATATATAGAACACATCAATATCTGATCAATGTGTCTGTCCTTCATTAACTCTGTCATGTTCATCAGCGTATGTTCAAAGCAAGTCCACATTCTGCAAATCAGATAATTTTAGCAAGAAAGTGATTAGAGAGCGTTTTGTGATCATAAAACACCGAAATGTACATCTTAGAGAAAAACAATTCAGACAACACATGAACTCGACTCTTTACTGTGAAACTCAGAAAAATGTGAACACCAGAATTTTGGCGAGAACATTATTACATTGTGAGGAAGAAACCAATCAGGGAAACTAAGTCACAAGCACCAAGGGTAAGTAGTTTCTGGTTTTCTAATGTGCTTGCAGTGCATCCTAGCCTTTATTGTTATCAAAATACTTTAGGTGTTCATCAGCATTAATGGCCAAGGACTGGGGATTTCCCTCGGCTGCTATGAGCATGACCCTGAGATACTTTCATAAGAGACAAAAGGAACATGGAACCAAAGATCTTCCCAACTCTAACTGTTCCACTCCCCACCATGCATAATTATATCCAGCAACTTGAAATCTTAGTGACAGCCCTGGTTTATGCTTTTCTTAGTTTAACAGTAAACAGGATGTGTAAAGAAATATACAGTCAAACGCGGCTTTACAATCACCCACGTATTACGGACAATTTGCTTTGACCCTGAGGAAAGAAAGCCCTTACATTTGCTCTAAATTCAACCCACTCAATATGGGCACTCCCCCCATTAATACGGACACTTTCTATGGCCCCCTTGGTATTGCAAATATTCCAGTTGAAGGTCGGAAGGCCTTGTAATGCAGATGCCACACAGATCTCTATTTTTAAATGTATCAAGTTTAATGGTTCAATGAATTTTGTTGAAAGGACTTACTTTTGGCGGAGGTCTTCATTAACATCCAATTTAGTGCATAGATCTCTGAGGCGAACACTGGCCAGATGGTAGAGCTGTAAATAATAAAAACAAAAGTTTTATTTGGAAAGGTGCTACTCTTTAGGCTTCCATTAAAATCCATGACAAAATTTTCTTTAAGGCCTACTTAACTGTCCCAAGGTTAGCCTGTCAGAAAGTCTACAAAAAGGCAGGAGTTTCTTGTTGCAGGCAACAAGAGGAGCCTGCAATCCTAATCTCCAGATTGCTATCACGCATGCACAGCATGTATGTAGCCTGCTTCGTTAAGAATTAAGAGCAAATGAAAGGTACAGAATGCAATCTGTTCATGCGCATTGGGCCTTTTATCACTCTTAATCTGACCATGCATGTTTTGACCATCAGTCACCTTAAACTGACGCAAAGCACAGCACTGGAGTGAAAGCATCATTGTCACTTGCACTCCATAACCTTACGTCATTACTTGTATGATACAAATTAATACGTCTCTGCAGTTAAACTTATATTACAACCATTAAATTTGAAAGGACAAGTGCAACAGCTGTACATATACCTTTCTGAAAAAAATTGCCAAAGAGCCAGTTTTTCTTGGTTTGGTTGGTGTTGTGCCTTTCATCTTGGGAGTAGTTGGTGCTGATGATGGTCTTACAGGGCTTGATGTTGGTGACACCATGGATGTGCTTGGAGTCAAAACACTACCTGCCCTTGGGGATGTGACTTGTACTGTGGTTGATGTGTTTGGCAGGACGACAGTTTGCGTAATTCCGTTTACAATGAAACCACCACTTGCAGGTGCTGGAGTGATAATCACTGAAAACAGGTGATAAGCTTGCTTTAAAACCCTTTGTCAAATACAGCCACTTTTAGTCACTGACTTCATTCCCAAACAGCTTTAGCCTGTGTTGTGGACAGAACTAATCTTCCGGTTAAGTCTGTCTGCGAAACAGCGCTGACATCCTTGCGCTGGTCCCCCCACAGGGCGCCCAGAATCACAACAGCCTACTGAAAGCCAAATTACAAGGATTTGTATGGAAGTTTATCTTACGAACAATAAAATGGTTAAAATGTACAAAAACAGCTACAGTTGAGAAACCAAAACAATAAAACTTACTAAAATGGCGTTTATAGGGCAGGAAACAGTAAGAAAACAACAAAGACACAGCTTTTTAAGAGTTATGTATACTTTAATAGCCGTTTTTGTACATTTTAACCATTTTATCGTTCATAAGATAAATTTCCATAATTCCTTGTAATTTGGCTTTCAGTGGGCTGCTGTGATTCCGGGTACCCTGTGGTCCCCCACCTAAGTACCAGGATTTGAGCACGTGGCATAATTGGCCCGATAAAAAAGGAGTTGTCAATGTGCCAATCATGTTGAAAAGCAATTCAAACACATTTCCCATAATTTGTCAAGTCCTTTGGGGGCCAAGACAACAAGGATATCAGCACTACATTCTAAGCGTTACTATCCTGGGTTAGATCGTGTCTGCAATGCAGGCTAAGACAACTTAAGCCTATTTGGGGGTCTTAAGATGATCATATACAGGTTATTCTTACACTCAAAATTAAAACAATTACGCTCTACAAGAAGGATATTTACTAAAATTGGCAAACACATGAAAAGTAACAACACACAATTTCCTGTGAAGAGGTCTTCACACATGTACAAGGTTGTCAAAATGCCAGCCACTGCCAACACAACAGTTCTGTTTGCAACAACAAAAAACCAGGTGATGGCATTTGCAGGATTGTTTACTTACAAGCAGGAGCATTCTTGGCAGCAGCTTGTCTTGTGGTAGGGGACAGAGTGACAGGTTGAGGATTCTGAGAGGGTGGACAGCTGCCAAAGTTGACCAAAAGATTCCGTCTGGCGCCACTGCTTGGTGTGACAGGGGAGCTAAACAGCTCATGGGCTGTTGGCGAGCTGGATAATGGCAGGACTAAAAATAGATCAATCAATCAATCAATCAATAAATCCCTTTATTTAAGTGTCACTGTATTTATTTAATAAAAAAGTCCGGGGAAAGTAAAAGGACTCCAAAACATGACTGGCTTCACTCAGTGATTCATATGGTATTGTCTACATGTGGTAGTCCTAAATCAGGAAAACCAATTGGATAAATAGTCTTGCTAAATTAATTCCTCCTCCACAATTGCTCAGCTGTTTTTCACAAACAGTGTTTTTGCCAGGTTTGGAAGTAGAAGTTGTAACGTTAGACGTTTTAGTTACAGACAAATGTTATTTTCTAGTTTTGAGTTTGGGAAATTTGCAAAACACTTTCAATGAAAATAGGCATTGCAAAAAGGAGAGTTGTCATAGAATGAGGCAACTGGCTGCTTATGTTGAAAATACTGCTGTGCGCATATTCATGGTAGGAGGTTCACCATCCACAGAAAATAGAGATTTAAATGTTTGCTTTTCTTTTTTTGTGACAAACACAAGGTTTCTTTGAATCATTGAATTTGGAATGAAAAATTGAATCTTACCTCGCCTTGCTGCTCCCTCCTCACCACATATTCTCTGTACACGAGGGTGGATAATTGGGGATGCAAGGAGATTCTGAGTACTGTGTCCTGTTTCCAGTTGGTTTGGAATAGACACATCTTCACATGACGGTACAGATCCAGCTTGTTGAATTGATGCCCATATAGGGGAGTCATGGCTCCACGCAAGGCACTCGAGAATCTGTTCCTCAATCTTATGAAAACAGTGAAATGTATGTTGTTAGTGGTTTGGGCCTGAACTGGTGTTAGACATTTTCTATCTTATATCCGTGCGCACAGACAGAATGCTGTCTGTGGAAAGCACTGATTGCTGCAAGTGGTACAAACTAGATAATACTCAGAGTCCTAGTAAACAAACTCAACATTATCATCACACAAAAGACACGAATAAATACTGCACTTGTGCAAGTTCAACAAAGTTGAGAGAGTGGGTAAAATTACGGTTGACTCCCGATAACTCGAACCTTCGAGGGAAATCGAAAAAAGGTTCGAGTTATCGGGACTTCGAAGAAAATAGCCAAGGGTAAGGTAAAAAACAGTTTTTACTGCACAGTGAACATTTTAACCACATTTAATTGTAGAAATGTCTCGTGAAAATTAAAAGATATTTCTAGATTATAAATCAGAACATAATGTAACAAAACATAGCCTAAATAGAGCATGCGTTTTACTGTTTTGAGAAGAAAAGCTGCTTCACGTTAGCCTGTGACAATCAACGTCAGCCTCCGCTAGTGAACTATACTCCTACAACACGTCAATAGGAAATCCAAAATTCAATGTTTCGGATACCCGTAGACGGCTTTTTTCCTGACTTTTTAAGGGCTCAAAACATGGTTTGAGTTATCGAGGGTAAAATTATATAGAAAATGACCTGAGGGGAAACGAAAATTGGCTCGAGTTAGCAGGAGTTCGAGTTATCGAGGGTAAAATTACAGTGAATGTATGACGGAAATCCAGGGGAAATCGATTTTGGTTCGAGTTAGCGCGAGGTTCAAGTTGGCGAGGGTTCAAGTTATTGGGAGTCGACTGTACATAACCTTGTTCCAGAAATTTCCTTTACTCCCTCTACATAGGAGTTTAATATTAGTAAATCCTCCTACCTCTCTCGAAATTCCACATTAGGTTCATAATTTCCTTCTAAAATTTTTGGTCTTTCACACCCCTGTGGGCCGGGAGTGGTTATTTTCTAGGATCACACATTTTCCACTATTTTCCACAGTCATATCGGGACAACGTAATGTTCTTAGCAGAATACTGCAAGATACATACATAGTTCAGATGTTTCACAACATCTCTTGAAAGTCCATCCTCTGCTTTGATGAACACTTCAATGACCTTGACAAAGTGGTAAGGACTGATATTGAAGATTTCAATCATCCATGGAAAAGTCCTGATAAAATAAAACAATGTCATTTTGGTAAATTAACATTCAAGTTAACCAGCTGCCTCACTAAATGGAAGGTGGGTCTGGTGTATCCAATGGCGTCCACTCTGGCCAGCCGCCCTCTAGACAAAATCTGCCCCCATGGCTGGCTAACCCCCGCCACCCAGCCATGAGCCCCTATTCCAGGCACCCATCACACTGATGACTCAGTGGGAGGGGAACGTAGAGGGTCGGGTGGGGTGGTGGGAGAACGCCAAAACAACTGCTATAAACTGCTCCACACCAACACAGCCGCCATGAAAGCCCCCAAAGAAAACTCAATGATCCTGGCTGTGACAATCCAACGACGTTTCCATGGGAGCCTCCACTTGTGAGTTTGACCACTGACAGGCCAAGACTGCTAAGCTCAACGCAGTTAACTTTGTTAAATTTTTTATTCTACTTCACTGAAAAATTGAGTAGTTAAAGGCTACCTTTGTGAGTTGTAAGAGAAGATGATTATTTCCAAACAACAAGCCATCAGGGAACAATGAAAGGAATCCTGCTCCAGCAAACTCTGCAAAAAAAGAAAATTTCTTGTCACCAAAACATGTTCTTGCAAAGTATTTACCAGAGACCTATATCAGATTATCAAAGATGGTTCTTCAACACAATGGTTTGACAAAAAGTGCTTCCAGAGTTTTCATCTGAATGGTCACACTACAAGGCTGTGCTCTAGGAAAAATTTGAGGGAGCCCAGTGCTCTGAACTTGTAAAATCCAGTGTGCCCAGCATATGATTTCTATGAAAAAGCAAAGATTTTCTATTTGCCCGAAACAAAAGTTAGGCACCACTACGGGCCACTGGGCTCTGCTAGAGCACAGCCTTGCACTACAGTATTTTATCAATGACTAAAGTTAGAACTGCATTGAATACCTTCCTAATGGCAGTCAGGAGTGTAAATGTTAATGCTCTCTAAGACAGACACTTTTGTGACCAGGAATATGTGTCCTTCTCAGAGAAATGTCCTATAGTATAGAGAGTCAACTAATATAAAGGAGTAAGGAAAGACGGGGACCAAATTTAGATGTCCATTTTAGCAAGCTGTCCATCTTAAAGAGGTGTCCATTAAGACAGCATTGACTGTAAACAGTATCAGAGATCACACTGATTACAAAACTTACAGTCATATCTAGATGTCCCTGTAGTCTTCTCTGCTCCAATATTGTGATACTTTCAAGAACCTAAAAATAAAAGTGCTTGGTTAAAGACTTTAAGTTAACAAACAAAGAGGTCAATTTCTTTAAGACATTACCTTGTAGTAAAGAATCTCTGCAAGTTTCAGCCTCTTGGTGGCAAACTCTTTGGTTGAACAGGGAGATTTTGGTCTGTCTGGGGATGGCTAGAAAGAAAACAAACATACTTAACACTACTCTGAAAATAATTTTCTCTTGCGGCATTAAAAAAACTCATTAAAAAATATAGTAAAATGATTTCTTGGGGCTATATTTCAAGAAATGTCTCAATTTATTTGCCCTCTCATAGGCTAATGAATTTCTTCAAGAGAATGAACAAAATGTCCAGATGAAAAATGACCGTGAAAAAAGAAGGAAGCAAACCCTTGACTTTGGATTCATTACTGACCTGTACATACTCCCTAAGAAATGTCTCTCCAAGAGTCGTAACTCGACTCTCAATTGCTTCCTGGGGATTCCTGCTGCATCCACTACAACAACACAAATTGAGAACTGTTCACAAGAAATCTAAAAATTTACAGATGTAGTTTGTAAAAACTTACAAATACCGAGTTGAAACTTACGAGAAGATCTTTAGAAGGCGATCACTTGGCCCAGCTTTCAAACCTGCCAGAAGAGCTTGCAGTCTGCTAACTGACTGAGTTGCAGTGGACACTGGAGTAATCCTAACAATAAAAAACCAAAAATGTCTTAATATTCAAACAAATAACAAGAAAAATGCAGTGTGGTGGATAGGCAAAATTTAAGAATAATTTAATGCTATCACAGTCTTGCAAGTTGTGACAGTAGATTCTAGGCTATGCCTTATCCGACTTTGGTTTCAAAATTTGGGAAAACTTACTTTGGATCTTTTTCTTTCAAATATCTTCGTCCAGTCAGTGGTGTCGAAGGTGCAAGGCTTCTAGTCTGATACAAAAAAATAAAAAAGAACACTTAGTATAGAAAGAAGAATCTTGCCTTCTTCTTTCACACAAAAATCAATAATTGCTTGGTAGCTATTTTAAATACAAACAAAGTAAAGAGACTTTAAAATACCTTACCCGTGTAAAATGTTCCTGCAAATTCCTTCTTAGTCCCATCCTAAAATGAAATGAAATGCACTTACACACATGTTAAACTATTCAAATAGCTATAGAAACTGGCATAAAATTAACATTGCCTGTATTATTAACTGTTGATGCATCGCCAGTCAACAAGGTTTTCAAAACAGATATCCCATTATTTTCCATCTCCATATGAAGGAATCAAATCAATTTTTTACACAATGATTTAGCTGGGAGTAAAAGCTTTTAAGAACAAAGACTGCCTCCTTGTACAAACCTCTGTTGGCCATCTACTTCTGTGAAACTGTCATTCTTGGCTGGTGTGCCAATTTCTAAATGGGCCTCGTCATCCAGAAAGATTCTCTCATCAAAATCTCCAACAGACAGCACGTATTCTTCATATTCTTTGTTGACTGACTTGCTAATGAAGAGACAATATTTTTATATCAATCGTGTTTCAAGAACTGGACATTTGTGGTCATTTATGTTTTCAAAACAAACAACAGATTTCCATTAGCCTCTCTTCTCTTTGAAAGCAATGTATTTTAGAAAAACAAAAATTCTTACCAGTTCTGTTCAAAATTGCCCTGATCAAGAATGCCTGTCAAGTTCTCTTCATTTCCCTTGAGTGTCTAATGGAAACGAAGAAAAAGAACACAAATGAAGATACATGTGACTCAGGGTTCATCTTAGAAATTGTGTGGCAAGTTTCCTTTTTTCTGTGAGGGGAGAAGCAGTGTGAGTAGGGCCTTTTAGGACTTTTTTAAGTTGAACTTCCTTGCTTAAATGAAACCAGGGAGTAACCATTTTGGTATCTTACGGAGGTTGATTAAGGTAAAGCAAAACAAACAAACAAATAGACAACAAATAAACAGACCATTAAGATTATTACAACATAAAAAGCAATACTAACTAGTAATAATGACCGTGATAATACCATGGGAACTAAGGATGCAAACATAGAACATTCTGAATCGACAGGCAACCAATAAAATTAATCTATCTTTATCTACATCCCAGCCGACAGGGAAATTATAAAATTCTGTTTTTCCAAACAGGTTAATTTAAGCACTCATAAATTAAATTAATACTACAGAAAATTTGCCTTAAATAATAAGGCAAAATGCATGCATGAACTATTTATAAATCTTACCAAAACAATTAAATGGATTTAAAAATCGTCAAGTCAAAAGTTAAAGTTTAAAACTGGTTGATGATTCTGCTAATTTTTAGGATTAACAAGTTAAAAATTCTTATTATTTAATTTTTTTAAATGCTTTCAGTTGCATTTTACTATTTTTCACGTGCAAGTTTCCAATAAATCTTTGGACTGGAGATCGAGTGTCAGAAGCATGGATCAACATTGTGCAATAATGAATTCGAAAACAATAAAACGAGATTAGGTGTTGACATGACCTTCAGTGTTATTTGTCAAAAATGGTGAAACCATTCACCAAGGAAATCAGAGCTTGGTTAATTGTTCATTCTTTCATAGTTTTCTTAGCCTTGCCTCTACAGCTTTAGATTTAGATTTTAATAGGCCCAATTCGAATGTCGAACTTTTCATGTAACGAACTTAATACCTTTTTGGGTCTACCCAAATGATACAAGTACAACGATTGATTTAACTGTCAAACTCAATTCATTTTCACCATGTACAATGATCTGCAATGCTTACCAGAAATTTATGCATCAGATTTAGCACATGAAAAGTTCAATGTTTGGAACCAAGTCGTTCCATAGTTGAAATTCCCATGTGGACCACTTGAACTTAATTCAACAGTCGACCCAAATTAGACATGTCAGACTTCAAACCTTTTCATGCACTTACTTGAAGGAATAGGTTTAAATACATGAAAACTTGGACGTTGGAACTGAGCCTAAGTTTTCTTTGGTTCAATTTACATTGTAGTTTTGACAAGAACTATTGTCAGTGTCAGTGTCAAGTCAAATTTCTCAGTATTATCTTGAGGCAGATGCCTGCCTTTCTTCCATCATGCTGGTTAGCTTACGCTGAAGCAGTTCCTCTGAAGGAGTTCTTTTCGTCGGTGGTTGACTACTCTTGTCGTCCTGTAGCAGGGCTCGCTTACGGCTAGTATCTCCTGCACCTTGCTTCAGCATCTCATTGATGTCTCGAAGTTTCTACGAATAGAAGAAACCTTTATTACTCAAGCCCATCCACATGAATTGTGCACACAATCTGCAAGGCTGTGCTCTGAGAAAAATTGAAGGAAGCCCTGTGCTTTGAACCTGTGAAATACAGTGAGCCCAGCATCTAGATGCTGCTAGAGCTCAGCCCTGCATCACTCACCTCATACAATGTTTCTATCTTAAAATATTATGGTAACAGGTAAAATATTTACCTCAGCAGGACTTTCTTTGAAGCAATACAACAGCCTTGTGGTTGGAGTCATTGAAACCCCTGAAAGGAGAATATTATTTTGTTATGGTTTTATTAAGTCAATACACTTAATAAGAGCTTTCCCTACTATTTGCTTGGCTTATAAGTGAATACATCTGCATTTAGTAGAGTTGTAATGCACTGAAAAATAATTGTTTTTAAAAACTCTTGGCTATAAGCCAAGACGCCCCTTGGACTCAAATTTCACTTAACTTAAGCTTTAATTTGTGTAAAAATCGCTCGGCTTATAGCCAAATACATACGGTAGATATTAGGACTAAAGCTAATGGAAACTAAGAACAACAAAAATAAAAATAAAATGACCACGCCCATTTAACACTAAAGGAACACATACCATTCTTGTGAGGAGATATGTACACAGGGTGTCTCGTGGACACTTTTCGTCGAGGTGAATGAGCTTGATTTCTCATTACTGGCAAAGGAGAAAGTGGAGGCGAGTCCAACTGGTGGGACAAAAAAGCATGTTTTGAGTGTCAATGTATTTAGCATGAAAATACTATTAGTGAAGACTATTTTGGCCATTTTACATGGTCATCGGAGCCATGTGAAGGTCTAGCTGTTTGCAAGGCAAACGCGTTACCTTCATTAAACTGAGTCATTTAAAAACAGAGTATTGGTTTGGCCCTGGGAATTGAACTCCCACTCTGCTGTGAAGCCATTAACCAACTGAACTAGTCCTGCCATCATTAGCTACTGCTTTTGTGGTTGAAGAAGAAGAACAAGTAGAAAAACAAGTTACAGCAACACAGGTTACAAGATACGGTAACAAGTTACCGGCAGTTGCCTAAGACACAATAGACCTTCCAAGCCTGATTACCATGTCAAAACTGAAATACTGTTACGAATGAAGGTTTCATTCCTTATCACGTCAAGATGTAGCACAATTGAAAAACATCTTAGAAAACAACCACGGCAAAAACTCACCGCTCTATCCCCAGCTGAAAACTTGAGAGCAAAGTTCTTCACTCTTTTGATAAACACCTGGATAAAATGGGTAAATAAATGCATCAGTTAAGAGAAATGACACATTTGTCCTTTTTTGAAAAACAAAAGTAATATTTTATTGTGGGCGACAAGAGGAACTTGTAATCCTCATCTCCAAGTTGCAATATTATGTATGTTGTGCATGCTTGGCACAAATGAAATGCATAGAATGCTATCTGATCATGCACATTAGTACCGTCAATCTTAATCTCATCACAGGGTTCGTACAAATTTTTGGGAACCAAATTCCAGACTTTTTCCACACTTTTTCCCAAAACAATAATTTCTTTTTGCAGACTCAAGGTTATCAAATAGTGATCAATAGACTTTAACAGACTTTTCCCAGGTCTGGAAAATTGTTGGGTAAAATTTAAGACTTTTTCAAGAATTCAAGACTGTACGAACCAGCTTTGGAGCAAGAGCGTTTTCTACTTCAATCAGAAGCCTGAAGCTTGCCCACACTCCCTTACCTTAGTTTATTACAAGTTATAATCCTTGCTTTTGATTATTTACTTACCTTGTTGTAGAACTCTATAAGATCTCCTCTCTCCCCATCAATGTTTGGACTGTTTTCAGTGCTGCTTGATCCTGACGTATGTGCACTTGCTGGAGGAGGTGTTGATGGGACAGTACTTGCACTCCTTACAGGGCTTGCTCTTGCACTACTAGCACCTTGAACTGGGCTTGCTGGTCCACTACTACCTGGTTCACTTTTAATACCTGCAATAAAATGCAGGATGAAAAATCCAGCTGCCACATCAGGAAATAACATGACTACTTGTATGGGGTGCTTGCCACAACCCTCTGGTGATTTTTTTCACTAGATTTGCCATTCTAATAACAGCCGAATGTTTATCTTTGTCACTGCAAACTATGTAGGCTATACACGCCAACACCTTTTTCAACGCATTGGTGAACATAAACATTCCGCGATTGACAAATACCTGCACAACGTACACAATCAAATGGATAAAAGATCTACATGACCAATTTGCCATCCTGAAGAATTGCTGTGGAAAGCTGGATTGCTTAATTCACGAAGAGAGGAGAAACCTAAACTTAACACCCAATCTGACTCTATCAAAGCAACACTATTTACCTGATAAGTAGCACTTTTTACACTTCATATTATATTTTTCTCTTTTAATCACATACAACTAAACTTTCACACACAACTCCCTATATAATGAACTCATGGAATTAGGATTTACATGAATTTGAAAATGATGTCATCGAAACATCATTCATTGCTATTGCTAAGAATTGCCATTTTTGCCATTATTTACTATACACTTCAGTAACATCAACTTATGAAGGTGTGACACGAAATTATTCTCCCACCCCACCCATGATAAAAGACATTGAAGGCAACAACACTCAGGATTTTTACATTCTTGATGTACTTCTGCACCTCTACTGGCAATCCAAACAAAGGGAAGATCTAACTATTTTCAAAGAGCTACCAATAATCATTGTATTAATAGAAAGTTTAAGATTATTACCACAACAGCAAGGATAAAGGCAACACAGTAATGCTTCAATTAAGGAAAACAGCAATTCTGCACATGTATAACACTTTCGTTGCTGTAATTGTACAAAATTTAATACAACACAAGACTTCCAATACAAGGTTTTCTGGAGGATGCAATATCATATAAATGGCAGCATCTTCCTCAGGTATTCTGATCTGGGTGATTGATCCAGGGTACTCATAAACTAAGGCAGAAACACTACGTTGAAAATATTATCTCACCTCTCGCTCCACCATCACTACCACTGCTTCCAAGTGGAGCCCGCCTCCTTCCTCTAAGAAGAACACTTCTGTAAACCTTTAAGAGAAAGTTTGAAAAGAGGTTTTGTAAATAAGCAAGCAGAGGTGAACTTACAGGAAGTAAACAAAGGGCTTACATGGCTGACAGCTTGGGGCTGGGTGCGATAACACTTCATAATGTTTTGAAAAGACAGTTCTGCATTGGTAACCTGCAAAAAACAAGCAATAGATGATATAAAAAATGCTAGCACCTTTTCATTAATTTATCATAATACTGTTATGCAAAGTAAACTAACTACAAAAAGTTAAAGCAAGTTAAACCATCTCCATCATGTGGCAAACGCATTCACAAAATAGGGCATTAGCTTATCCAGGTTTTCTAGTTATCCCACAACATAGAAATGCTGTGTTGAACTGGTCAAAGTTTTAACAACATGGAATGTCTTGTATTTGGCTGAGGTTTTATTTCATGTTTTCTAGGCCCAGAATGTGGTACAATACATTCAGGATTAAGAGCTAAAATTGAGTGACTAATTGCCAAAAGAAAAACAAAAAAATAGAAACCAACAAAAGCAAACAAATAAACAGAAAATAAATCAAAGCCCTCTTATGTACCTTTCCCATAACATATATAGAACACATCAATATCTGATCAATGTGTCTGTCCTTCATTAACTCTGTCATGTTCATCAGCGTATGTTCAAAGCAAGTCCACATTCTGCAAATCAGATAATTTTAGCAAGAAAGTGATAGTGAGCATTTTGTGATCATAAAACATCTTAGAGGAAAAATTTCAGACAATACATGAACTCAATTGTCAGTCTTTGCTGTGAAACTCAGAAAAATGTGAACACCAGAATTTTTGCGAGAACATTATTACATTGTGAGGAAGAAACCAATCAGGAAAATTAAGCCACAAGCAGCAAGGGTAAGTAGTTTCTGGTTTTCTAATGTGCTTGCAGTGCATCCTAACCTTTATTGTTTTCAAAATACTTCAGGTGTTCATCAGCATTAATGGCAAAGGACTGGGGATTTCCCTCAGCTGCTATGAGCATGACGCTGAGATACTTTCATAAGAGACAAAAGGAACATGGAACCAAAAGATCTTCCTATCTCTAACTGTTCAATTCCCTACCATGCATAATTATACCCAGTAACTTGAAATCTTAGTGACAGCCCTGGTTTTAGCTTTTCTTAGTTTGACAGTAAACAGGATGGTAAACAAATATACAGTCAAACGCGGCTTTACAATCACCCACGTATTACGGACAATTCGCTTTGACCATGAGGAAAGAAAGCCCTTACATTTTCTCTAAATTCAACCCACTCAATATGGACACTACATTAATGGACACTTTCTATGGCCCCCTTAGTGTTGCAAATATTCCAGTTGAAGGTCGGAAGGCCTTGTAATGCAGATGCCACACAGATCTCTTTTTTTAAATGTATCAAGTTCAATGGTTCAATGAATTTTGTTGAAAGGACTTACTTTTGACGGAGATCTTCATTAACATCCAGTTTAGTGCATAGATCTCTGAGGCGAACACTGGCCAGATGGTAGAGCTGTAAATAATAAAAACAAAAGTTTTATTTGGAAAGGTGCTACCCTTTAGGCTTCCATTAAAATCCATGACAAAATTTTCTTTAAGGCCTACTTAACTGTCCCAAGGTTAGCCTGTCAGAAAGTCTACAAAAAGGCAGGAGTTTCTTGTTGCAGGCAACAAGAGGAGCCTGCAATCCTAATCTCCAGATTGCTATCATGCATGCACTGCATGTATGTAGCCTGCTTCGTTAAGAATTAAGAGCAAATGAAAGGTACAGAACGCAGTCTGTTCATGCGCATTGGGCCTTTCATCACTCTAAATCTGACCATCTGTCACCTTAAACTGACGCAAAGCACAGCACTGGAGTGAAAGCATCATTGTCACTTGCACTCCATAACCTTACGTTATTACCTGTATGATACAAATTAATACATCCAGGGTTTGCAAATTTTATTGATGAGTGGAGTCAGTGTGACTTCTGCTTCACAAATTTCGGAGTCATTTTGGAATATTTGGAGTCAAGTATCACAACGAAAAAAGCCAAATTCAGACTTTCCAGCACGTGGTCCGGGCGTGTATAAACTATCGTGAGGGATACACGAAATAGCTGTGGCGGTCCGCTGACCTAGAAAGCTCAAATCCATGATGGCGGTCATCGAGTAAACTTTGATCGTAATTTACCCCCTTCCTGTTTTGCCGTGCAGTATAATTCTTTAATTTCGATGATTTAATTAAGGTTTACAACGTTTACAATTAACGTAAATTGTATTTGTTGCAAAAAAGGTAAGGACAAAACTATGTTTGTTACCGAAAATTTCTGGAGTCGAAGTGACTCCCTCCATAACCTCAGTGGAGTCATCTGAACAATTTTGGCGTAAAATACGCCAAATTTGGCGTATTTGCGAACCCTGACATCTCTGCAGTTAAACTTATATTACAACCATTAAATTTGAAAGGACAAGTGCAACAGCTGTACATATACCTTTCTGAAAAAAATTGCCAAAGAGCCAGTTTTTCTTGGTTTGGTTGGGGTTGTGCCTTTCATCTTGGGAGTAGTTGGTGCTGATGATGGTCTCACAGGGCTTGATGTTGGTGACACCATGGATGTGCTTGGAGTCAAAACACTACCTGCCCTTGAGGATGTGACTTGTACTGTGGTTGATGTGTTTGGCAGGACGACAGTTTGCGTAATTCCGTTTACAATGAAACCACCACTTGCAGGTGCTGGAGTGATAATCACTGAAAACAGATGATAAGCTTGCTTTAAAACCCTTTGTCAAATACAGCCACTTTTAGTCACTGACTTCATTCCCAAACAGCTTTAGCCTGTGTTGTGGACAGAACTAATCTTCCGGTTAAGTCTGTCTGCGAAACAGCGCTGACATCCTTGCGCTGGTCCCCCCACAGGGCGCCCAGAATCACAACAGCCTACTGAAAGCCAAATTACAAGGATTTGTATGGAAGTTTATCTTACGAACAATAAAATGGTTAAAATGTACAAAAACAGCTACAGTTGAGAAACCAAAACATTAAAACTTACTAAAATGGCGTTTATAGGGCAGGAAACAGTAAGAAAACAACAAAGACACAGCTTTTTATGAGTTATGTATACTTTAATAGCCGGTTTTGTACATTTTAACCATTTTATCGATGATAAGATAAATTTCCATAATTCCTTGTAATTTGGCTTTCAGTGGGCTGCTGTGATTCCGGGTGCCCTGTGGTCCCCCACCTAAGTACCAGGATTTGAGTATGTGGCATAATTGGCCTGATAAAAAAAGAGTTGTCAATGTGCCAATCATGTTGAAAAGAAATTCAAACACATTTCCCATAATTTGTCAAGTCCTTTGGGGGCCAAGACAACAAGGATATCAGCACTACATTGCAAGCGTTACTATCCTGGGTTAGATCATGTCTGCAATGCAGGCTAAGAAACCTTAAGCCTATTTGGGGGTCTTAAGATGATCATATACAGGTTATTCTCACACTCAAAATTAAAACAATTACGCTCTACAAGAAGGATATTTCCTAAAATTGGCAAACACATGAAAAGTAACAACACAATTTCCTGTGAAGATGTCTCCACACATGTACAAGGTTGTCAAAATGCCAGCCACTGCCAACACAACAGTTCTATTTGCAACAACAAAAAACCAGGTGATGGCATTTGCAGGATTGTTTACTTACAAGCAGGAGCATTCTTGGCAGCAGCTTGTCTTGTGGTAGGGGACAGAGTGACAGATTGAGGATTCTGAGAGGGTGGACAGCTGCCAAAGTTGACCAAAAGATTCCGTCTGGCGCCACTGCTTGGCGTGACAGGGGAGCTAAACAGCTCATGGGCTGTTGGAGAGCTGGATAATGGCAGGACTAAAAATAGATCAATCAATCCCTTTATTTAAGTGTCACTGTATTTATTTAATAAAAAAGTCAGGGGAAAGTAAAAGGACTCCAAAACATGACTGGCTTCACTCAGTGATTCATATGGTATTGTCTACATGTGGTAGTCCTAAATCAGGAAAACCAATTTGTTAAATAGTCTTGTTAAATTAATTCCTCCTCCACAATATTGCTCAGCTGTTTTTCACAAACTGTTTTCGCCAGGTTTGGAAGTAGAAGTTGTAACTTTAATTTAGACGTTTTTTCTAGTTTTGAGTTTGAGAATTTGCAAAACACTTGCAATGAAAATAGGCCTTGTAAAAAGGAGAGTTGTCATAGAATGAGACAACTGACTGCTTATGTTGAAAACACTGCGGTGTACATAGTCATGGTAGGAGGTTCATCATCCAAAGAAAATAGAGATTTAAATGTTTGCTTTTCTTTTTTCTTGATAAACACAAGGTTTCTTTGAATCATTGAATTTAGAGTGAAAAATTGAAAATAAAGCTCTCTTCTCACCTCGCCTTGCTGCTCCCTCCTCACCACATATTCTCTGTACACGAGGGTGGATAATTGGGGATGCAAGGAGATTCTGTGTACTGTGCCCTGTTTCCAGTTGGTTTGGAATAGACACATCTTCACATGACGGTACAGATCCAGCTTGTTGAATTGATGCCCATATAGGAGAGTCGTGGCTCCACGCTAGGCACTCGAGAATCTGTTCCTCAATCTTATGAAAACAGTGAAATGTACGTTGTCAGGGTTCATATAAAAAATTGCAATCATTTTCAAGGACTTTTCGAGGACCACATCACATTTTCAAGGACCATCTACTAGGATTATAATTTCACCGATTGTACCAAAATGCATATTCCCAGTCCATTCTAATAAGACTTTAAGGCTTGAACTGTTTGCTTCACCAACTTTTCTACATTTTTCAGTTTACTTGTCTTAAATTGATAGTTAAATCATTATTGCATAAAACATAGAGCACATTATGTAAATAACTTTTAAATTCTCTGGGCCATGATTTATTTCTGTCTTGGACAACCAAAAAGCATCAAAAAACTCTTTTCAGGCTACTATGTTCAAATTCGAAGAAAATTCAAGGGCTTTTTAAGGACTTGCACAGAAATTTAAGGACTTTTCAAGGAAAAATGGAATTCAAGGACTCCCCCTAAAATTCAAGGACTTTTCAAGACTGTGCAAACCCTGGTTGTTAGTGGTTTGGAGCTGAACTGGTGTTAGACATTTTCTATCTTATATCAGTGTGCACAGACAGAACGCTGGCTGTGGAAAGCACTGATTGCTGCAAGTGGTACAAACTGGATAATACTCAGAGTCCTAGTAAACAAACTCAACATTATCATCACACAAAAGACACGAATAAATACTGCACTTGTGCAAGTTCATCAAAGTTGAGAGAGTGGGTAAAATAACATAACCTTGTTCCAGAAATTTCCTTTACTCCCCCTGCATAGGGGTTTAATATTAGTAAATCCTCTTACCTCTCTCTAAATTCCACATTTGGTTCATAGCTTCCTTTTAAAATTTTGGTCTTTGACACCCCGGTGGGCTTGGAGTGGTTATTTTCTAGGATCACACATTTTCAACTATTTTTCACAGTCATATCGGGACAACATAATGTTCTTGGCAGCATACCGCAAGATTATACATACATAATTCAGATGTTTCACAACATCTCTTGAAAGTCCATCCTCTGCTTTGATGAACACTTCAATGACCTTGACAAAGTGGTAAGGACTGATATTGAAGATTTCAATCATCCAGGGAAAAGTTCTGATAAAATAAAACAATGTCATTGAGGTAAATCAACATTCAAGTTAACCTGCTGCCTCACTAAATGGAAGGTGCGTCTGGTGTATCCAATAGCCTCCACTCTGGCCAGCCACCCTGTAGACAAAATCTGCCCCCATGGCCGGCAAATCCCCGCCACCCAGCCGTGAGCCCCTATTCCAGGCACCCATCACACTGATGACTCAGTGGGAGGGGAACGTAGAGGGTCGGGTGGGGTGGTGGGAGAACGCCAAAACAACCGCTATAAACTGCTCCACACCAACACAGCCACCACGTAAGCCCCCACCGAAAACTCAATGATCCTGGCTGTGACAACCAATGACGTTTCCATGGGAGCCTGCACTTGTGAGTTTGACTGCTGACTGGCCAAGACTGCTAAGCCCGACGCAGTTAACTGTGTTAAATTTTCATTTAACTAATTTTAATTTTTTTATTCTACTTCACTGAAAAATTGAGTAGTTAAGGGCTACCTTTGTGAGTTGTAAGAGAAGATGATTATTTCCAAACAACAAGCCATCAGGGAACAATGAAAGGAATCCTGCTCCAGCAAACTCTAAAAAAAAGAAAATGGCTTGTCACCAAAACACGTTCTTGCAAAGTATTTACCACAGACCTAAATCAGATTATCAAAGATGGTTCTTCAATGCAATGGTTTGAAAAAAAGTGCTTCCAGAGTTTTCATCTGAATGGTCACACTACAAGGCTGTGCACTAAGAAAAATTGAAGGGAGCCCAGTGCTCTGAACTTGTGAAACTCAGTGTGCCCAGCATATGATTTCTATGAAAAAGAAAAAGTTTTCTAGTCGCGCGAGAACAAAAGTTAGGCGCCACCACAGGCCACCGGGCTCTGCTAGAGCACAGCCTTGCACTACAGTACTTTATCAATGACTCGAGTTAGAACTGCATTGAATACCTTCGTAATAGCACTCAGGAGTGTAAATGTTAACGCTCTCTAAGGCAGACACCATTGAGACTTGGAATATGTGTCCTTCTTAGAGAAATGTCCCATAGTATAGAGAGTCAACTACTATAAAGGAGTAAGGAAAGACAGGGACCAACTTTAGATGTCCGTTTTGGCAAGCTGTCCATCTTAAAGAGGTGTCCATTAAGACAGCATGGACTGTAAACAGTATCAGAGATCACACTGATTACAAAACTTACAGTCATATCTAGATGTCCCTGTAGCCTTCTCTGCTCCAATATAGTGATACTTTCAAGAACCTAAAAATAAAAGCGCTTGGTTAAAGACTTTAACTTGACAAACAAAGGGGTAAATTTCTCGAAGACATTACCTTGTAGTAAAGAATCTCTGCAAGTTTAAGCCTCTTTGTGGCAAACTCTTTGGTTGAACAGGGAGATTTTGGTCTGTCCGGGGATGGCTAGAAAGAAAAAAAACATACTTAACACTACTCTGGAAATAAGTTTCTCTTACTGCACTTAAATAACTCATTAAAAAAATATAGTAAAACGATTTCTGGGGGCTATGTTTCAAGAAATGTCTCAATTTATTTGCCCTTTCATAGGCTAATGAATTTCTTCAAGAGAAAGAACAAACTGTCCAGATGAAAAATGACCGTGAAAAAAAGGATGGAAGCAAACCCTTGACTTTGGATTCATTACTGACCTGTACATACTCCCTAAGAAATGTCTCTCCGAGAGTCATAACTCGACTCTCAATTGCTTCCTGGGGATTCCTGCTGCATCCACTACAACAACACAAATTGAAAACTGTTAACAAGCAATCTACAAATTTACAGATGTAGTTTGTAAAAACTTACAAATACAGAGTTGAAACTTACGAGAAGATCTTTAGAAGGCGATCACTTGGCCCAGCTTTCAAACCTGCCAGAAGAGCTTGCAGTCTGCTAACTGACTGAGTTGCAGTGGACACTGGAGTAATCCTAAAAATAAAAACCAAAAATGTCTTAATATTCAAACAACTAACAAGAAAAATAAAATGTAGTGGATAGGCATAATTTAAGAATAATTTAATGATCACAGTCTTGTAAGTTGTGACAGTAGATTCTAGGCTATGCCTTATCCGAGCTTGGTTTCAAAATTTAGGAAAACTTACTTTGGATCTTTTTCTTTCAAATATCTTCGTCCAGTCAGTGGTGTTGAAGGTGCAAGGCTTCTAGTCTGATACAAAAAAAATCAAAAACAACACTTAGTATAGAAAGAAGAATCTTGCCTTCTTCTTTCACACAAAAATCAATAATCGCTTGGTAGCTATTTTAAATAAAAACAAAGTAAATAGACTTTAAAACACCTTACCCGTGTAAAATGCTCCTGCAAATTCCTCCTCAGTCCCATCCTAAAATGAAATGTAATGTACTTAAACACAAGTTCAAATACTCAAATAGCTACAGATCCTGGCATAAAAATTAATTATTGCCTGTATTATTAACTGTTGATGCATCGTCAGGAAACAAGGTTTTCAAAACAGATATCCCATTATTTTCCATCTCCATATGAAGGAATCGAATCAATTTTTTACACAATGATTTAGCTGGGAGTAAAAGCTTTTAAGAAGAAAGACTGCCTCCTAGTACAAACCTCTGTTGGCCATCCACTTCTGTAAAACTGTCATTCTTGGCTGGTGTGCCAATTTCTAAATGGGCCTCGTCATCCAGGAAGATTCTCTCATCAAAATCTCCAACAGACAGCACGTATTCTTCATATTCTTTGTTGACTGACTTGCTAATAACGAAACAATATTTTTATATCAATCATGTTTCATATGAACTGGACATTTGTGGTCATTTATGTTTTCAAAACAAACAACAGATTCCCATTAGCCTATTTCCTCTTTGAAAGCAATGTATTTTAGAAAAACAAAAATTCTTACCAGTTCTGTTCAAAATTGCCCTGATCAAGAATGCCTGTCAAGTTCTCTTCATTTCCCTTGAGTGTCTAATGGAAACAAAGAAAAAAAACACAAATGAACATACATGTGACTCGGGGTTCATCTTAGAAACTGTGTGGCAAGTTTCCTTTTTTCTGTGAGGGGAGAAGCAGTGTGAGTAGGGCCTTTTAGGACTTTTTTAAGTTGAACTTCCTTGCTTAAATGAAACCAGGGAGTAACCATTTTGGTATCTTACGGAGGTTGGTAAAATAAAACCTGGAAGAAAAAAATCTTTTAGCAATAACTTAGCAAGACAAGTCTCACCTTCTTCTCAAAGAGTTGCTTTATAAATGGTTTCCAGTGATGTTCCTTGATTCCTTTAGCTTCTAGAACAATTCCTGTTAATGAAAAGAATGAAACACTTGTGTAATATTAACTTTGGGATGGACAAAAAAATATACAAGTTGTATAATTTTATTATAAAGTGTCAAAGTCATCTAACATGGCTGATCTGTTAAATCAAATATGGTAAACTGTGGCTTATACATCATCATAAGGGGTGTTACAAGGGCTTATAAATTGGGAGAGGTTTGTATCCAAGGGGGTTTGTAAATGGTAGAGAAAACAGTTTCACTACATCACAATAAATTGAATTCAGAGGGTGAGGGGGTGGGGGGCAGTATAATATCAATCAGGCAAATGTTTTGGTTTACAGGTAGATGGACCTATAACTGCTGTGGCTTAAAAGTGGTAGTTTGTGAAACGTAATGACTGAAAATGACACCTTGATGCTTCTTGCAAAGCCATTCAACAACACAAGGTACTTCAGCTGGAGGCTTGAAATCTCTGTTTCCAAATTCCTGCGGTAAACCTAGGGAAATAAAAGCGAAAAGTAAATCAACTTGTATTTCTAAATTCCTTTTATGTAACAACACAAAATAGCAAATCAGAGGTTTGATGCTACGATGCCACTTGTATTAGGGTGTGTACTTGCAGGAGTGAAGCTTTTTTAATGAGCACCATTACTCGGCTGGGGAGGAGTGGGGCATCAGCCTTGTGACTTTAATCCTAGCCCAAGTGTATAGTCTTGATACCCAGGGGGAAGGGGGTCAGTGCTTGAAGCTGTTTGCTAATCATGGCAAGACGACAAAAAATTTTGGCGACTTATATTGCAGTGAAAGCTGCCATATTGGCAACGTATGTCGGGTAGTCATGTGCCAAGTCATAGCAAGGCTGCTGCACGAGAAAATTTTTTGGGAGCCCTTTGGGCTCCTTAAATAGAAAGTTAGGAGCCTGAGCCACATTTCCAGGAGCCCATTGATTGATCAACTTAAATAAGAAAGCAGATACTTGAAACTTGATTTATTTGAGTTTCAAATTTTCAGAAAAGTGTTTGTTTGTTTACTTTTATCAGCAGACCAGGCGCCTGTTAGGCAGCAGCCTTACATAGTGTTTAACCCTTTAAGTCCCAATGGTGACCAACATTTATTTTCTCCCAACGATATCCATACAATGTCAAGAGATAAGGTTATGAGAATTAATGAAATGATCACTAAAGAGAAAATGTTTCAATCTTTTATCAAATTCTCTCAACTAATTCTTTAAGGAAATGTATAAAGATCAGTTTGGAGAATTTGTATGTGGATATTGGGGCTTAAAGGGTTAATAGTGTTTTTTTTTGTTGTGTTTCTGGTCTTTCTAAAGATAAGAGAGAAATACTTGCATGAAATATTATTTACTTCCCCATTTTCGTTATTATTTATCAGAAAACTAAATACACAACTTTTGCAGCTGTGAAAACAAAGCCTGAAAAATCATTCAGGCTTGCCGGGATTCCAACCCTTGCCCTCTGCGATACCGGCGCAGCACTCTGACCAATATTATTTTTTCTTCAAACCGCAATTCAAATAAATGAAAGTCATATATTTATTATTTTAATATGAAATCACTCATTTGCATTTCGTACCAGCTTGAGGCCAACGAAAGCAGTTCTTATTCTCAAAAAATATTTAGAAATTACCTTCAAAGTTTGGATTCAGTAAATTCTGGCGATTCTTCGTATATAAAGCATTTGAGTACAGCAAGTCAAGACAGCACAAGAGTAAATGATAAGAATTCACCAAATCATCACTGATTGCANACAGATGTGTTGATGTAAAGAACAACCAGGACAAAGTGACGGAAGGGTGCCACCGCACGCACCGCGGTGAGCGGGGGGGGGGAGTGCTGGATAGTGTAAAAAATGTTTTGTTACTGCGGGTGAGCACCCATTTTTCCCAAAGAAGAGGGGGGGGGGGGGGGGGGTCGAGCCCCTCCCCTGGATCCTCCATTGGAAGGAAATGGTCAGAACTTAAGTGAACTAGATGAGATCCTGTGGATGATATCAAATTGAACTGCTGTACCCTGTGGTTGTGTAAAAAAGGCTTTATATAGTATTTTAAGGAGATATTTCCCCACAGGGGTTGCAATAACCTTAAGTTTAGGTGGGTAGTTTAGCTGAAGCAAGGAAGAAGTGAAATTTTCCTGGGTAGCATACCCACAGAAACCCCTACTCAGGAAAATTTTGAAATTTTGCACTCCAGGAGAGGCATTTTCAATCATTCTGAAGCATGGTTAGAGGCTTTCCTACATTATAAGACAGTGTGATATTTTCAACTGATATAAACACAAATTGGCATAAATTTCTGAAGAGGAGGTAGCTGGCCAAAACCACCGGCTAGTTAGCCATCCTTAACCGGCTACTTTCATCTCCTTCTACCATAACTGCTAACAAAAAATAAGCACCTTGGACTAAAATTGTAAAGCATCCATTTCCCAGTTTTGAACGACATTGAACGCATATTTAAACAAGTTTAGATCTGTGAAACGTTCAAGCCGCACGATGTCGTGGAATACCTAAGAAATTTTGACGGCATTGTTCGCAGTCTTGCTTGTATTCTGATGAAACAACATGGTGTCCGCGGTGGAAATACCTCTTGAAAACCCCTGGAAACACCATTTCTGAGACTCTGAATTTCAAAATATCCCTAGATGTCTCAGCCCTCAAGAACATGTGCCTTTGGTGCGAGTTCCAAAACTGCCTACTACTTATTAACAGCCTGCCACTTAAAAAGTTTTTGACAGCCCTGAGAAATCCCTGCACAGTGGAAGAAAACTATAGCATCATCTTTAATATAGCGACGTTTAAGCAATGCTGTCTTATTCGGGGTACAAACTATATCGCTGGTTGAATTTAACGCACTGACAAAATGGTAGAAGACATCACAATTATTCGTTTCTTGTTTGTTTTCAAACAACTTAGGATGGATCAAATAGACTTTCTACATGGATCGAATCGACTTTGTTGACGGATCGACACAACTTCAGTTTGTATCGAATCGACTTGGATCGAAACTACTTGGGATTGAAACGACCAAACTCCATTTAAGGAAGAGTGCCCAATCATAAATGTAGTATCATTTTTTTTATTGATTTTCACCACGGTATTTTAGTATTTGCCAACTTTTCTTACAGTAAATAAATTGCGGTGTTGGGTAGACCCCAGTGTCCCCCTCACCTCGGTCTGCCTTCCAAATTCTCCAATTTTAAATGCCACAGTCACAATCCACAATTGTTGTTGAGGTATTTTTGAAACAATGTTATCTCTGCAATTGACATTTGCTAAATATTGTAAAGATTGTTCCAATGAATAGACTACAAAACTTGCAGCTTGCACATTAGGACAATTTCTGTCAGAGATTAACAAGACAAATACCTTGAAAGAGCAACAAATTTACTTTCTGTAAAAACAAAGGAAGTATCAAACTGTGCATTTCCTTTTGATAGAAAGAGAAACAAATCTACCATTTGCTACTAAAAAGAGACATTTCTTACTATTATCTTGCAACCCAAGTCTAATTAAAATGTGTGGTTGTTTTGCAATAACCATCACATCAATTTTGAAGCAAAACATCTAGAGGCGCCATTAATAAATTACAGAACTGTTAAATGTCGCTTCAAAAATTTACCACCTACAGAGCTGTCTGCTGTAAATATAAATAGTCAAATCCTTTGTGTGAAATATGTAAAAAGAAAATCAATTTCATAAGAGAAGTTAAAATAATTATAAACAAAAAATTTACAGAATTTCATTTGTAGCAAATTGACAATATCTTGATCATTGTCTTTCATCACAAACAATGTTAATGACATTCCGAGAAATGCAAAGACTTGTAAAGGGCCAAAATTAATTTTCTATAGCAGAGTATTATGTTCAGGTTAATTATGACTCTACTGTTAGAGTTAATCCAGCCAGAACACACAGTCTATGCATGCAGAAATGAGAAGTCACAATTCAGATCGAGTAGATCTACTTCAAGCCTGAACATGCCCAAGAAGTAAGCTGAATATTTGACCCCTTTGCACAAAATATACCCTGAAACAAGTACTGCAACATATCAAAAGGGAGATGAAGTTGGATTAGCTACGTAATGACAGGTTGAACAATTGACAAACTGTGTAAAGCTATGTCAAAATGTCTCTATTGTTAAAATAACTGACCCCTTAAACAGGCCTAGACATGTTTCCCACCCACGTCCGTACACCGCCGAAAAAACTTCATTTAAAATACCATAGGTCACTTAACATCTACCGTCAGTCCCTGCATGAGTAAGTTTGAACAAAAAACAACCAAATATTTTCTTCCAAATCACCAATCCTAAGAGCCAGCCACTCAGGATTAGCTGTGGACTTGTGGGGTGAGGGCAACAGTCCAATCAAAGCCTGTGTGTAATCACTGAATAATTGTGTGCAATCGACCAAAGAAAGAATACTCTTGTAAAATTCCCTGCACTCTACTGCAAATTATCTGGAAAGATTTATTTACTGATAAATTTGCTTCTAGCAGAAAAAAAGAATGAAAATTGCCTAAAGCAAAAACATTTTTCTGGTGTGCATAAAAGAGGTTTCATTGGAAACATTTTTTTATATTATTTCATCAGTTCCCATAATGAAGTGCTATATTAATCCTGATCTACTGACAATCAAAATATTGAGATTTCAGCCAGGGAAGTGTTTACCTTAGGCTAAAAACAACAAAGTAATCCAGAATTCTGCAGCTTTTGCCCCCGTAGTATGCTATCCTTTCATACTGTACTATCATGCATAAATCCCTTACGAGTTGTTTATGTCGCATGTGACACAGAAATAGATTTTTTAAAAAACTCGAAACACATGACAAAACCGCAGCAGTCAAGAATATTGATTTCACTTTCAGTTCAAATTTCACAAGATATAAATGACACCACCCCCAAAAGCTAAGGAAGTTTTTGAAGCGAGCTACCCTAGATAATGCATTTAAGGTACTTTAAAAATGGAATTGCAATAAAGGAAAATCTCTTTTCTGGCTCTTGAATATATATAAAAAAATCATCACCCGGCCTACTATCAGCAGGTCTACAGACCTAGTAGAAAAAAAGCCCTGTTCATTAATTATTATGGAAGTTTACATGACTCTAGTGAATTCAAAATTGCCGTTCTACTAATAAAAATTTTTAAGTTGCCTGGCTTGCTGGACGAGACGTGAAGCAGAAGTGTCCCATATGACTCTTGAGACAATTTCGCGCCAACGCAACACGAACAAAAGCATGTAATATTCGAACGTCTTTGAATTTGTCCGAGTTTAGTGACAGCGAGTCAAGACGGTTTACACTCCTGCTTTTTCTAAAATAAACAGCTGACTATCTCAAGCCGTAGGAAAAATGAAAATTGGCAGCCCGCTTACCTTTAGCTTGAATGTATAAAGTCCAGCAGAAGGCAAAAACATCACCAACAGAACACGGCTGTTTTCTGCGAGGGATAAAAGAATTTGAAATGAAGAGATAATATGCCACGAGTTTCTCATTTAAATATCACATGTTTACAGCTGAGGACCTGAGAAAGGACAGGTTATTTTTCGCTAGAAAGTCTGAGAGAAGCAAAAACAACATGAAACGAACAACGTTGTAGATTTTCAGGTCAACCGTAACAGGTTTACATTCAATAAGCCAAACTCGTCACGTTATTGTTTACAAAGGCCGCGCAACAAATTTGTGTATTTACCTTGATTTTCGGCCTCTCTGAGTCTTTGTGTTTTCCTCCCGTGGATCTTTAAAGATTTCCAGGAAAATAGGTTCGTACTTCTTAAATATGACAGTGGAAACGTGGAAGTTCCTTTCTAGTAATTCAATTTTCTTTCGAAAGTCCCCCGACGCGTTCGACATGTCCAACCACTTCTTCATTTTGCTGAAGAACTGAATGAGACTACAGAGAAAGCAAAACAGAAAACATTACAAGGGAAGTTCTATTGCATACGAATCGAAACCGAGATGGTTCGTGTTCCTAAACAGATCGACAAAATCTCACCTTAGTTTTGCTGCTCTGAGCAATCGCGTTAGTGAAACACAGTTGCCTTCGACCGTACCCGAACTATCAACGGTCGGAACAACGCTTTTGCGGCAAGCGACGTATAGAGCACATGCCAACCAGTGAAGACTTTCCCCCTGAAACAGAAAATGTTTAAATATAAAATATCTATTTGTCAGAGGCTTCTGATTGCAATAAAATCGGGCTCAAAGCTGTAACTTCGTAAACCGTTCCCGGGTTTACGATATTCGAAGCAATCATGTAACGAACGCAAACACTCAAACAAAGCGAGCTCACCTCTAAAGTATAGTTTGTGCTTATCTTTTGGTACGAAGACCAAGCTTCTTGGCTTGTGTCTTCATCCATGTTAAGATCACGGCACAGATCTTGAAATCTCTCCCAACTATTCGCTTCCTCATCGTCGCTAGAACTCGCCATTTTGGTTTTACTTATCCACAGAGCCAAACAGAAACGCAAGCATAAAGCCGAAATGGCGGGAAAATGCGGTGAGGGCCAAATATAGAAAGGCGACGAGTGATGTTCGCATGACGACAGCGCGTCAGCTGTCAATAACAATGGGAATTGTAATGATTCTTTTCCTTATTTGGTGGTAATTTCCCGCCCTTTTTAAAGTCCTAAACGGCTTCAGCTGTGTTGACGAAGTAGTTGCCGCCAAATTTTCGCAAAGCCATGCATGGCATGTTTTCTCTGTAATCTGAATTTGTACACGTTCTTCTGATCAGGCATGAAATGTAACAGGAAAATTTAATCCATGTTCTTGGAAACTATTCGACCTACTTCGACAAAACGTCTGTTTCCCACGGCAGATGTGAATGGCGTCCATTTGTGCTCCCGAGGGGATCTCGCTAAGTACCTTTCTGGCACGCGCCGTCACTGCACGATAGATTTCACAGAATAGAGCTATGGCAGATTTGATTATTCGGTGGATTACCGAAATCGCAGATTATTTTATGTCCGGCCAATTTAAACAAGATTAAACGTACAGGAATCGTCTTATCACGGCTTTCTGTGTGTTTGTTTCGAAAGACCATGATTATTTAAAAATGCTAGGTAGGCAAATATTTTCAAAACTGATCACTATTGTTCTCGATCCTTCAGTTTGCAGTCCTTCTCAGAATTATGGAAAATTAACTTGAAAGTCAAGTCTGAATAAAAACAAGAAAAATATCTAAATATTTTAATTGCGCCTGCCAAGAGCCGATCGCTAGAAAACTAGGAATGAACTTTGAAAATCCGTCGTGCATGGTTAACGTTAGTTCTTTGTTAAAACCGCGTATTAAATGAGGCAGGCACTTTAGAGTGCTTTTGTTTTGTTTTGTTTTTTAATCACAATGGAAAGTCTAAATATTTAAACCCAAGAGAAAGTCTTGCGGCCCTTTATTAGTTTTAAATTTGTGTCAACTTTCCTGTGCCACTGCGTGAACAATTCATCCTCACTACCGCAACAATATATTGGGTGGCCGTAATTAGGTTTCTTCCGATCCGTGAAACAAGGTCTGCCCCCCCCAAAACAGACAATACTGTCAAACGACCTTACATTAACGAGGAGATAAAGCCAAACCACAACAATTTTGTCTTTTTTAGTTCCTATGGTTGCAAATGGACTCAACACTCGCGACAATTCAGACCTCCTTGGGCTAGACAAAAAAAAAATCGTTAAATAGAATGGTTGGGAAATAGACTGCGAGCAGTCTCTTATTTTTCTTTTCAAAGTTACTGCACACAAAACCTAAGCACGCGAGCGGCAAAGCCGCGAGCTTCGAGATACGAGGGCGTTTGCAATAATAACGTCGTGGTTTGCAATCGCACTGGATGAGATAAGAACTAGACGGATATGCGGATTTTAAGAGAAAAGGCGGACTGCAAGCAGTCTAGTTGGGAAAAGAAACCGCATTGAATATTCTCTGTTGTAAAAAGTTCTTCCAATTCGAAGGAGGCAAAGTCGTATACAATTTTAAGAGCTGTAGGAATACTTATATCCGGGGGGTCCGCAAATGCGCCGTATATAAAAATGTAGTAATGATCACCTTGACCTCTAAGATGTCACTAAGCGTTGGGCGAAATGTAACGCAACCGTTAGGTAAAGATACAGATGTGGTCGATCGGTAACTGATCGTTGTTGGATAATGGCTCTTTCTAGTGCTTCGGTCGTGGAGCGGAATTCTTATTCTCGAGCCTTATCACCAGTTGTGGGAATTTCTATTCTTTTTGGCCCCGGGGAGAGGCTTCGTTCTACAGCTCATTCCTGGTTAGGAGGTGTAATTTTCTTCCTACTCCTCGTTGGAATGACATTTGTTGCAATCATCGGCGTGTTCGTTCGAGAGACAATCGACACGTGGATTCAATTTTCCCTTTACATCGTTCCTCTTATCGCCTTGGTATCCGGTTTTTACGTGTACACCTCATCAGCATTCAACAAGCTGCTAAAAAGGAGACTGTCCCGGAAGTCATTAGTGGAGGGGTTTCTGGAGTCTGATCAGGGAATCCCATGGCACGAGTCTCAAAGGGCTTCGTGGTTAAGAAAAGCTGCCATTAAAAACTGTTTCTATCCTTTCAGTTTGGAGATTTATCAATGGACCGCCTACGTGATTTTTCACACAGTTTTTAAAAGTGACAGCTTTGCAGGTTCATTCAGTCACACCGAAGTAATTGAAATGGGATCTCGAACATGGCTCCTGCTTTACTGTTCTTTTTGGGCGATGGCCATGTACATCACCGGATTCGTAGCCTACTCTTTTATCCTGATCAGCCGACTCACCGTTCGAGATGTCATCAGTTTCATGTGCATGTTTGGGGATAGTCCTTTTCTGCTGTACAGACCTTCCGAAGAGCGAAATCCAGTCCTGGAAAGTCTGAACCCTGTGAAAAGAGTATTTAATGCTATAGCTGGGTTTCTATTCATGGACTTGTGTCAGACTGGAAAAGATATTGTTCTGGTTTATGAAAAAGATGTCCCTTATTTGAGTAGATTGCACGGAAATCGAGGTGGCAATTCACCCCATTCAGATCAAAATAGTGTTGATGGAGATAACTACTGGGATTCTGGGGAATCCAATTTTATTTCAGCAATTGATGTCTCTGGACCAACAGTAGGTAGGATAGGTGTGCCTGGAAGACCTCAAGTAAATCCTGCTGATGCATGCAAATATCTCTCCAATATTGTGGGAAGCATAGAACGGCTTGCAAGTCTTTTCCAGCCATTCATTGTACTCCTGGCATTTTTTTCGGTGGCTAATCTTGTGACCCATGTGGGAGCCATTGTGAGCCTTGTGGAAGATTTCAAGTCATCTCATTGGTGGACATTTGTAAGGACATGTATATGGCTTCTGTTGTCTTTGCGCCTGCTATGGAGTGCGGCAGCGATCACCAAAGCTTTGTCACACGTGTCACAGCATCTAAACTATTTATGGTCAGTGGGACAGCTTCAAGGAAACTCGGAAGAGTGGCAAAGGTTTTTCAAGTTGGTGGAAACATTCCAGTTAGGTACCAAGACATATGGCTTTCCTCTCACCTTGAAGCAAGCTGCGTCAATTGCAACATTTATCAACTTTGCACTTATCATAGTGCTGTCAATCATGAGGCCATCTGTGCACTTTCCAGCAGAGGGGCGGATTTAGGGGGTGAAGATTGGGTGGCTAGCCACCCCTTTTAGGGCATCATTCACCTTCACTCACGCCCATCCCATCTAGGCAGATAGATACCATTGATAGCAAGACAGTATGCTCTTTTATCAGGACTATTTTTGTATCCTGAGTGGTAAAATGGAGGACAGGGAAGTGGGGGCCCATGAGAATAGGTGGCAGGACAAGGAAGGAGAGACAGGAGAGAAAAGGGCGGGATGTGGGAGTTCTCAAAGGGTGGAAAGCACAAGAAATAGTGGGAGTTATGCAACAATGCAATGTTGAAAATGGGCTCAAGGGAGGAAGCCAAGAAAAAAGGGCAGGAATGGGAGGTGGGAAGTTTGGACCACCCTTTCTACCAACTACTATTAACTGTACATGAATATGTCAGTACCATGGTTTGGAACAAAAAGTTCAATGAGTCTTAGCTTAGGCCATAGGATTATGAGGATCATTTTTGTGATCTCTGACATAAATGTAACAGACTAAATGAATGTTCCTTTCAAGCCAAAGAAGACCTCAATCATCCTTGCGCCCTGTTGGTAGTTCTCAATGGAATCACTACTTTTGACGAGTATTCCAGAGTTATGGTAGAACACTGGGAGACGTTAAGTCTTAATGTTGGCTTAAGGGCGTTCGCGCTAATTGTTTCTGGGCATCCCTACTGCGCACGTAATTCATAGCGCAGTATCACGCTATGTCATGCATTGAGCGCGCGCGCTGCGAAAACTGTCTAAGCACATATAGGGCTGGTAGCCGTTGCATTAACTTCGCTTGCAATTTACTTTCTTAAATGGTCAGTGACACCCCATTTTTTTTCGGTAGACCACTTTCTCTTCCACTTTCCGATAGATTGTGAAAAAATGAACAAAGAATTAGTGTGGGAAGGTAAAAAATTTCCAATTTTTCTGTGTACACAGCGTCGAATTTTGGCATTCGTGCGGCTGTTAGGAGAGTAGAAATGTGTCCGCTAAATGATAAAATCAACTCTGAGGAAGTTTTTTAGTTCACCGAATTTTGTTTATGGATCCACAAGAACAATAATTGGCGGATAAAATTTCAATTGAGGGATTTATTTATAAACTTTTTGCACAAACAGGCACTTTATCCGTATGCAGTAACGAAGCCCGATTTCTCAGATTTTGGGCGATCTTTTGAACATCATATCTCAGAAATGAATTCGGTGACCTCCCAATTTTTTTACATTTTTGACATGAGTAACCCATAATCTCAAACTGGTGAAAGTTTCAGGAAAAAAATCAATGTTAGAAGATTTTCGCGCAAACGTCCTTAAGGGAAGGGAAGGTGGGCAGTTCCCCAGAAGCCTATATTGATCCCACTGCTACATAATAATTTTGTACCTTTTAGGAGTGAGGGCATCAGGTAACTGTGACCAATAGTTTTTATAGAGAGAGAGCGATACCAGTAATAGGGAGAGTGATATGATCTCATGCTATAGTAGCTGAAATCGAGCACACATAATGTGATTCTCAATAAAGTTAGTTTACAATTGGGTGTTCTTTATAGTTTTAGGATAAGTGTGATATACATCTCATATCAGTGGCTTCCTCTAGTGAAGGAAGAAGTGAGAAAAGAGAGGCATATCAGTGGAAATTCAGATTTTTAAGTAAATGAGGGGCCAGTCATCTAGACCGTCGGATAAGAGCAGGGCCCAGCCTCGAAAATAGTTTTTCTCAGCCCGGCCTACGGCAATTAGTTTGGCCTAAAAATAGTGTTGGGGCCTGGGCTCCTCGGTACCTCCCTTAGATCCATCAGTGCATATGACAATTCAAATGTTTTGCAAATGAGGAAATTCTCGTTATAGATGACTTACTGAGTTGCATTTAATAGCCAATTGCTTCGTTGCCATAAATCATGGGGACAGTTTCAAGACAACAATATAGGGTCTTTCTGCAGGTACCATGATCACAAAAGAGGCAAAGGAACCAAACAATAGAGTTCTCCTGGGGGCTTTATTGTTTAATTGTTTTGTTTCTTTTGTTGTATGTAATCTTTGCCTCGCTACCTGGAAATATCAGTTTTTCACTACAAATTTTGCAGTTTTGTGGCCAAAAACAAAGGACATAAATAAAAGTGTAGACCGCAAAACAGTCAGGTTTTTTTTCTCAAACTTGGTTTAGCGTAGCTTAAGAATCTCACAAATGTGGTCATGTGGAGCATGCAAGCCTCACATGCCCATAGGGCAAGTGAGGTGAGAGAAAAAAACAGACTGCCTGTTTCCCATACAATGAGTGCGTTCTGACCAGGGGGTACGTGTTATTGTCTTCTTCAAGCCTTGGCTTCACCTCTTGTGGCAAATGCTGTATCAAGTAATTCCAAAGCAGTCTTTAGCATTGTTTCCCCGTGCAATGTAGTGTTTACTGGAAGATCAAAAATGAGTGGAAGTAGCAGTATGTAAGCCTGTGCCTGCTCCTGAAAGAGGGAGAAAGCCTAAAGAGCCAAGTATTTCAGATAATTGTAGAATGTGTGGCTTTTGATTCAAAACAAAGTTCACCAATTTTTAGAGTGGTTGGATAAGCTCTGAAAATATGTTTGTTGTCCCTACTAGAAAAAATGGGAGTCATTACCAAAGTTGGTTGACCTTCTGAAAAATGAACTTTTTGTTGTCCTTGACGAAGGAGAATCTTTCTCCAGAAGAGTTTGCTCTCCAAGCGGAACAAAGGTTTGAAACTGTGCTGCGATGCTTTCCCAAAAACTGAACACGCCAACAGACAATGAACAATATTAGTGTGATTGAATAGAGCCAAAACCTGTTGGTAAGACACAAAAATATATTCTTTCCTCTAAAAGAAAGCTTCCCTCTACTCTGATTTTACAATAAATCCCAATTCTTGTGTGAGCAAATCCAGACCTTCATCAACCATCATTTACAGCAAAAGCTTTAGGGGTCAAGCATTTTACTTTTTTTTGGAGGGGGGAGGGGGTGGTATGGGTGATTTGGTTGAGGCAAGAATTTTTTTTGCCCAAACTTCTGGAGATAAAATTTTTTCCTCGACTTATAACGTTGTAAGATTTGTTTTTCCAGCACTATAGACCATGAGACATATTTTTTTTCAGTGCTGGATATTTTTTTCCCCCAGGTATTTCCTTGCAAGATTTTTTTTTCTCTCAAATCAGGCTGCAGGATATTTGTTTCTGAAATCACCCATACCCCTCCCCCTCCCTTCAAAAGTCAAATGGCCAGCCCCTTAGCAAATCATCAAGGTTGGGAACATTGCAAATGACTTGTTAAAAACATAACTTGACAGCTTATTGACAGTTTGCATCAAAATTTAGCCAATGGCAATTGCCCATGGCTGGAAGAAGCGGTAATTCAAACGAATATAACGTATGCCAAACATACAGTCCGTGATCTTAGCATCTCTCCCCAGTCCTACTCTCCATTTTCTGGCTCCCTCCAGACCTTTTTGTTTGACTGCTCTCGCGTACTTGAATATGTGAAAATATGGACTGTTTTGCAGTGAGTCTAATAAAAGTGCTGGTCAACCAGTGCGAAACATATAAATAAGAATGACAGAATCTTAAACTATCATCAGAATATAAGCACTACTGCAGGCATTAAAGAGAAAATCATTGCATTCTTTTAATACTGACGAAAAGATTAGATCTTTGATTCCTAAAAGAATTATGTCATGCAGCCTAAAACCTTCTCAAAAGGACCTTGTTTTTCAAGGACAATACACCTGACCCATACATTATGGGATGTGTTCATTTTGAGGTGATCTTTGAACAAGTACTCTGTTATATTAAGTATGTAAGCAATGTAACCTTCAGTGCCTACTTCTTGAATCCATACTTCATACTTAACATCCTTAGTGGTCAAAAATGGTAAATTTATGGGTGGTTTCCATGACAACCACAAAGATGGTTTAGCCTCTTTAACTGGGATTTGGCAAGTCAGGTTAATTACCTTGCTTGGATAGAGTTTACCGTTAAGGTCAACCTCCTTTTTATTAGTAAGCAGTTTCTGCTTATTTTTAGTGAATTCCAAAACTGACAGAAGTGATTGAATATCGACAATAGTATCTTGGTAAATTCTATAAAGCCAGTAAGGATCACTGCAACACAAATGTTGTGGGACCTCCTCCGTATTCATAATGTCCTTCTGTTCTTCCAGGCTAAGATGGTCAATTCCTCCAACTTCTGGTGCCTCATGAGGATAGGTAACAGTATTTTCCTCAATATTATTCCTCCAAGAGGCATAGATAACATTCATATCTGGTAATTCTACCATAGTACGATATGGAGTGTAGTGATCAGGATTGATGCCAAATGGGAAGAGTTCAATGAGACTTGCACCAGGTGGTAAAAACATTGCCATAATCAACATTGAGCCATGCATTCCAATAAGAGCGCTGGCTTTACTTATGATCTGTACCTGCTCCTTGAAAGAATGTGTAGCCATGCTTACTCGAATAACCGGCTTATTGAACTGCTGAGCAATCGCTAATGACAAATCCAGTTCATTGGTTATCAAACGATTGTGTTCTCTTGAACATAACACAATATATGAAGAATCAGAGGAGTGAAATGAAAGTGAAATGTTGTCTAGTCCCAACCTTCTTTCGACAAAACCTGTAAAGTGTCGCAAATATTGCCCAGTCAAGGAGACATGAGGCAACTGCCCTTGTGGTTCCCTAAAACCATATTGATACCAAGTTGTGTACTTTGATATGCCGATAACTCCATGGCGAAAACATGTCAGGTGATTTGCTTTCTGAAGTTCTTTTTTCAAAATCAATGTTTTCTTTGTAAATAGTTTGTACAAATCAAAATGAGTTCCTTCATTCCGGTCATCCATCATAACAAGGGTAAACCCCAGATCGACAGAGAGCATATCTCGTGAAAACTGCCTTAACGTATGATACAAGGGTAAAAGATCATCATGAAAGACGTGCATGATATTTTCCGGATTAAACCTATGAAATATCAAGCTAAAATCGTCGATCACCGTGACATTAGGGAAGTTGTCAATGGAACAAACAGGATAGTCCACATAGTTGAAATATTGAGTATTGTGGTCTTCAACTGAAGACATGTCAAGTAGAGCCGGGTTAAATCGGTCACTTGGGACCCCATGAATAATTGTTTCAGGTCCATGAAAAAACAAGTATTCATCTTCAATTGGATGGTAACACAAATAACTAAACTTGCAAATCCGGGTTGATTTGTTATGACCCAGGCAAAACAGGCTCGAGCCTTCTCTCAAAGATTTCAAACCAAGTTTCCGGCTTTCAGTTACATTGAGCGTCTTATTTTGAGAAGATGAGGTTCCTATCCATCTGTAGGTGAAACTGAAGACCAAATAGGATACTAGGCCCAACAAAAAGTGAATAAATGCCGGTGAAAACACGAAGGTTTTCATTGAAGTACAAATCAAATAGGCCATCGTTCTGGTTGGGGACTGGAGACTACTCCCGTTTTTTTCTCTCGCCAGTCCTCACAGAACGCACCACCGTCGACAAAACAGACCAATCACCACAAAGCAGAATCCTCAGCAAACAAGTGAAGGCTTGCATCAATAAATTCTACCGCTGCTTTGACCTTTGAGTTCTTTTCCAAAGCACGCAACGTATAAAAGTCTTTTTTTCTCTACAAAGACAGACTCACCCGTGCTCACATGTCGGGGGGGGGGGGGACACCAAAAAAGAGTGAATGTTTGAAACAATAATTTCTACCGCTGCTTTGATCTTTGATTTCTTTCCCAGTGCACGCAACTTATAAATTTTTTTTTTTCTCAAAAAAGAAACCCTCCCCCGTGCTCACGTGGGGGGGGGGGGGGGGTTGGTAGTTGTTGGGACTGCTAAGAGTCCTCCCTAGGTAAAACTAAAAGAAGATTGCATGACAGGAAAACGGAGCACTTCAAATCCATTGCCGACCATGTCACGTCAACTGGTCAACTGGTCATAACATGATATGAGACCACTTCTAAAATTTAGACCAGCCATGTTCTATAAAATTCACAATGACCAAACTGGGATAGACACTGGCAAATATCTGAAGCCGTTGGGTCGAGTCAGCCGTCATGTTAATACCCAAGCTTATAAGGTTCCGTTCCCCTAGGTATTGATAATGACCTCAGAGTGACCACTCCATCACTGGACAATTCACGTAATTCATTTTCAAGGAAATGCGTTTGCTAATAGCCCGCTGAATAGAAATTAGGCCTAGTTCAGACGACTTACTTTTTATGTGTGCCTAACCGTATTAAACAGTGAATAAGGGTGCGTTTTTTTGGGAGAATCCAAAAACGCATTTGTGATCTCAGATCATATCATGGGATTCTTCACTACCGAAAAAATGGAAGATTCAAAAAAGGATCATTTATCATAACAACGACATGTCCTCGTGCTCCGGCGTGGGAAAAAAACAACAACAGCACACTGATCCTCACGGCGAAGACAAGAAGAAAAATAAAAGCAACATAAGTTGCGGATGAATATACGAAATGTATATATTTCGGTGTTAAACACAAACGTTTTTCGAATAGAATACACTCCTAAAGATAGCCAAATTCATAGTTAGTAGTCTACTAACTATGCCAAATTATATATAAGAATTTAAAACTGAAGCCGATGACCTGTTTTTTTTTTTTAATTACTTGGAAAGTAAATCGGCGTAAGCAGACACTACGTACGTGTAAATAACATGACAAGTAAGGATTTCAAAACAGTCTACGAATGTGAATAGATAACAAACATGGAATGATATGTAATTAATGGCTCAAAGTTTTTGGATTCGGAAATCCGGATTTGGGTTTTCCCAAAAAATGCACCCTTGGTTGAGTTCGATTGGGAAATCCGGATTTAGATTTTGAAATCTGGATTTCGGATTTTGCAATCGAACGCGAAATCCGAAAACGGATTGCACCTCCGCGAAATCCGTCCTCAGAATGGATTTAAATTAAGAAATCCAAATCCAGATTTCATGGATTTCCTTTTTACCGCGTTCGATTAGGAAATCCGAAAAAGGATTTGCAAAACAGCGGTCTTCTCTTTGCTAGTTACACGTGCGCGTGCAAGACCGCTGTTGTTAAGGACAGTTTTTCAAATCCTTTTTTGGATTTCCAATCGAATGGTTAAAAATGAAAATACAAAAACAGATATCTCAGCGTTGAAATCAGTTTCAGATTTCCCGTTCGATTGCAAATACGAAATCCAGATTTTGAAAGCCACATTCAGATCACGCTTTTGCCGCACCAAACTAAAACTGTTGTACCAAATTAATTTAGACGCCGCTCTTTTGCCTTTTCATCAGTTAGGTTCGTCACATTAGTGGAGGGCGTCTGAACCGTACATTAGGCAGACCAGTAATCGGCTCCTGAACACGACACATGACAAATGTCCGGTGGGATGGTGAAGCTTGGAACTGACTGCGCCAATTGTTAGTTAATGAACGCCAAAATGTTGAAAAATGTATTTTTAAATTATTCAAACTCTAACGAGTCATAAATTTAGCCGGGAGAAAGTATCTAAAACTTTTCTGCACCGAAGCGATCTTGCCGGGTGGTGGGGCAGACATTTTGCGGTAACACTACATCTAGCAGATACGACCAAAGTAGCGATCGGGTAGGGCTTTATACATCATAGTTTTTTATTCTGATTACAGTCGACTCGCGATAACTCGAACCCTCACTAACTCGAACCTCGCGCTAACTCGAACCAAAATCGATTTCCCCTGGATTTCCGTCATACATTCACTGTAATTTTACCCTCGGTAACTCGAACCCCCGATAACTCGAACTCCCGCTAACTCGAACCAATTTTCGTTTCCCCTCAGGTCATTTTCTATATAATTTTACCCTCGATAACTCGAACCATGTTTTGAGCCCTTAAAAATTCGGGAAAAAAGCCGTCTACTGGCGTCCGAAACATAGAATTTTGGATTTCCTATTGACGTGTTGTAGGAGTATAGTTTACTAGTGGAGGCTAATGTTGATGGTCACAGCCTAACGTGGAGAAGTTTTACTTTTCAAAACAGTAGAGGGCATGCTATATTTAGGCTATGTTTTGTTACGTTACGTTCTGATTTATAATCTAGAAGTATCTTTTAATTTTCACTTGACATTTTCACAATCAAATGTGATTAAAATGTTCACTGTGCAGTAAAAACTGTGTTTTACCTTACTCTGATCGGCTATTTTCCTCGAGCTCCCGATAACTCGAACTCCCGATAACTCTAACTTTTTTCGATTTTCCTTAAGGGTTCGAGTTATCGGGAGTCGACTTTAATTTGGTATGTCATGACTATATCGCGTGATCATGTAAGCTTTATAAACTAATTATGATAATAGGCACTTAATATTTAACAATAATTAGTTTATAAAGCTTTACATGATCACGCGATATAGTCATGACATATCAAATTTAGTTCATGAGTCAGCGTAGACTACGAGTAGTCCCCCATTTTTCCTCAGGGATAGTGGATCCCTGAGGAAAAATGGGGACTACTCGTAGTCTAGAGTCAGCGTGCGTATGTCGAGATATTGAGCACTTAGGAATTAGTTTGGAGAGCACTCAAGAGGCGTAAGAGTTGCTCGAGGCACAGTCGAGAGAAACTCTAGCCTCTTGAGTGCTCTCCAAACTTCCCGAGTGCTCAATATCTCGACATACGCACAGTTAGTAATGGTAACAGGACTGAGTGGAGTCCAATTCGGTCTGTAATCATAACTATAACAAAATTGTCAAATCTGATTGGCTATCAACTGCCAGTTTAATAGGACAGTACGCGTCATGCCTAAGTAATTGGACAGTACGCGCCATCAAACGCGCGCTTAAATTGCTTTTTTTTTCAATGCTGGCAAAACAAAATGTCGAATTTCTTGTGTTTTGATGTTAAAAATAGCCTATTATATCATAAATTTTGTTAAAGTTATGTTTAATTGGTAACAGAACTTCGTGTCGTCCAATTCGTATAGGTAATAGCATGATTTGTAGTGATATTTGGCATAAATACCACGAGTGATATTTCGAAATTGTTATACGTAATTTCACAAGCAGTTAGGCGAGTGAAATTTGGGACAATTTTGAAATATCACGAGTGGTGTTTGTGCCAAATATCACGTACAAATCATGCTATTATTTGTTTATACTACTACCCACAAAAGGTTTGTAATTTTCACTTGCAGGTATTTCAAATTAAGCTGAAATACTACTGCTCTAAGCAAATCAAATTGCAGAAATTCTTCATGTGGTAAGGCTGAAATCAGGGCAGTTGATAGCCAATCAGATTTAACAATTTTGTTATAGTTATGATTAGAGCATGAACTAATTGTTTCATAACATTTATCAAAGCGATCAACGAATTTTTATTATTGTAGCGCACGCTCAAAGCAGGAAGCGTCAATGCCTGCGAGATATATTTTTTTTACCTCACAGTAAAAATTGTAGAATCCGTATTGAGGTGCCCGAAAACTATTACTTACCCGAAAACTTTTTTTTGAAAGAAATAACACTGTAAAGAGTGATTTGCACACGCCATAGCTCGCACAGCTCGCGCAGGTGACAACAACAACTGACAACACTCACCTCTTTTGCCTACTATCGGTTAACAAATTCAAAAGTTTTCTCGTTATAAAACACATGTTTAACGCTCCATCGTGTACTGTTGAGTTATGGATGCACTTGGAAGACGTCTTGAGAGGATTGCTAAGCTCTCAAGAACTCGAGGTATAATAATAGACCTTTACAAGGTTAACACCGCCATTTTGCCGGGGGTGCAAAACTACTGGGGCGAGCGCGCGGCCAAACAATAAAATGCAAATGGCTGACTCATCGAGTTGCAATTACCTGCGAAGAAATATCGAAATATCTTAATCTAGGATCAAAACACGTGTACTGAAACTGTTAGTTTGAAATCCTTTTCTATTTCTGCCGCTACCACTCCGGTAGAGCGGCCACAAAATTATTTGTGATGCCTCGACAAGCAGAGGAAGTTCTTGAATACGACGACTTCCTCGGTTGGACTGTTTCCTCGTTAAAGGATTTTCTTTCGCTACGGGGACTCAAGCAAACGGGCAGAAAGTCTGAGCTGATCGCTAGAGCGTTTGGAGCCTACGAACTCAATGTGCCTGTGAAGTTTTCCCAGGAGCAAATTTATCAGCAGATAAAAGACGAATATTCAAGGAGGCTGACTAAAAATGAAATTAAGAGTGATCCAAACATGTTACCGAGTGACGCTTGGATTGACGACGTAAAGGAATGGCCAGAGGTCGATGATGGCAAATTGTTCAGTTATATTTTGAGGACTAAAGCCGTAGATGTCGACTATATTGGAAAATACAAGGATCAGAAGGCCTATTCTTATTGGATGAGTGGCTTTGTAGACACAGTGTTCTTTGCTAAATGCCCAATTAACAGCAAGCATGTGTTCTTGAAAGGCTCTGTATCCCCTTCACAAAAAATTCGTGATGACCCGCATAAGGTCTGGGTTTGTTTAGAGGGCACAAAAAGTGAATGCAAAATCTTAACCTCTTGGTGTACATGTACAGCAGGTACTGGTGAAGTTTGCAATCATGTTATAGCTTTGCTATATAAAGTAAATTTTGCACACAAGAAAGCTTACATATCTCCTGCATGTACAAGCGTTCCACAAGGATGGAACAAAGGAACTAGAAAGGATGTAGCTCCAACTCAAATAAAAAACCTTGTCTTTCGTAAAGACAAAAAGACTCGGGAGGACAGTCCCAAAGAACAGGCAGCCAATTTAACTTTAAAGAACAACTTTGACCCACGAAAGCCCCAGGATAGGCAGCTGACCAATGAAAGGGTGTCAGCTCTTATCAATGGAGTAATTGAGAATGTCCCATCTGCTTGTTTACTTCACTCTATCGAGCACACTAAAGATGACGGCCTACCCGAACCTCTTCCTCAGAGAGCCCTTAGCTTCATGTCATCCCAAGAAATGAAAGGAAAACCATTGGAACATACCGCTCCACTCTTTTTAAAAGAATGTCAGATGACGAGTGACCAAGTGAAAAGGGTGGAAACTGAAACTCGTGGCCAGAGTAACAATGACTCTTGGCATCAACAAAGAGTTGGGAGAGTGACTGCGTCAAATTTTCACAAATTTCACACCAAGGCTCAAACAATCATCAACAGAAAAAGTGACAATGACAAAAAACCCATTTACAGTTCAATGGTGTCAAACCTGTTGAATAAAAGTGATGATGTCTCACATATGCCACAGATAAAGTGGGGGAATGCCCATGAAAAGGATGCCATAAAATCATTCATGTCAGATGTGGCCTCTCAACATGATGGTGGCCTACAGGGCTTTAGACAGTGTGGATTGTTCATCAAACCCGATTACCCCTTCCTTGCGGGTTCCCCGGACGGCCTGTTTTTTTGCCATTGTTGTGGTCTGGCAACACTGGAAGCAAAATGTCCCTACAGTGTGAGAAATGAAAATATTCATGAAAAAAAGACATTTGACCGTGTGGAATTTCTTGAAGATTTTAATGGAAAGCCCCGCTTGAAACGCTCACACAAATATTACACCCAAATGCAAGCTCAGATGTGGGTTTGTGGTGCCAATCATGGCTTCTTTATTGTTTGGACTCTGGGCGGCCAACCATTGTATGAACGAGTAGAACTTGACTTGGAATTTTGTCTGAAAGTTGTGAACAATATCACTCTCTTTTACAAATCTTTTGTGTTACCTTGCCTGTTAGGATACAGGGACATTTTTGAGTGCCCCAAGTGTGACAAGGTTATTTTGGAGAGTGATGAAATAAGTGATTCTGCAAACGAAAACAGTGTATGCTGTGACCGCTGCAGCACTTGGTGGCATTTGCCATGTGCTGAACTCAGTGTGAATTCTGCAGATGCACTCGACTCTTGGATTTGCCAGAGCTGCCTGGCTGATGCAGCAAACATACATGATGCTGGGGATGATGAACTTGACTTGAACTTACCTGAGGAAGAAGAACAAACTGATAACTCAAACACTGTAAATCATGTCTGCCCAGTTTGTTGTCTTAAGAGTATCCCTGTGAATGGAGAACATGTTTGCACAGTCTGTAAAAAAGCTGTCCATGCTTGGTGCAGTAACCATGAGGACATAACAAGTTCTGCAGACCTAATTTGTAATTACTGCATTTCAGATTAATACATGTACTGTACATTGAATTTTAATTACTGTTCACAAGGAGAAGTTTCACCACATGGTCACATACAGCTGTAACTAATCCCAAACATCAAATCGACAAAATCATAGATTCACAAGGTGTTAAGAACTTTAATACACCAGTCCAAGAAGTACATGTATAACCTACAAAATGTTTTAATTGCATCATGTAATATTTTTCTACATGTAGAAACAATTTAAGAATGTTGGATGCATTTTCATTTCTACTAAGTTAGACATGGAGAAAAGTCAGAGTTATTTACACATTTCTATATATTTTTTATAGCCACTTATTGTTTAGTATTGTTTTGTTGATGCATTTTTTATGAAAATTTCATTTAATGTTATGAAAATGTTGTATGAACATTCCTGTTGCTACGGTTAATTACGCACATTTCTAATAGCAAATTTCAATTCCTTAATCAATTTAACATTATGTAAATACAACTTGATTTGGAAATATACCGGTATTTCATGATAATTTAAACAAAATTGTTTTGTACAAAAAGTAACATTTCATTCACTCATGGAAGGACCTCCATTCAAAGAAAGCCAAGTTCATTAGACAGCTTTTGTGGGGACTGTTCAATCTGAAATAGAAAATGCAAGGTATTGCTCTTATGCCTTGAAATACACAACGATGTCATCTATGTAAAGTGTAGTAGTAGTTTCACATTTCATTGACATGTTAACAGTTCTCAAATGAACCTGCCCCAGTCTCTAAACTGAATATGTGGTCACCTTGGCATATTTGTAAATAAAAATATCAAACACAGAGTGGTGGAAGCAAATTGCACAATGCACAGCAGACACGAACAATATCATCAGCCAGGGGAAGCAGGGTAATAGGCAGTTCATTTTTCAGAATAAGAAAAACTTTGAGCCGTCCAATAGCTTGTTCAACATAAATTCTGACATTCGCAATGTTTGATGTCTCTCTGACATCACGTGGTAGCATTTGCATAGATGATGCACAACTAGGTGGAATGCATAATGTTGCCATGTACATCATCAAGTCCTCTCGGATTTTAAAACCTCTGTCTGCCATGACTTCATCGTAAGGCTCAATCATTTTTAAAAACCCACTATTCCTTACAATAAAAATATCAGATGCCCTGCCTCCATAACATGGTGAAACATATGAAATTGCTCCATTTGGGGTGATGGCAACAAGGACTTTGAAAGTGTAGTGGTGCTTGTACTCACTCCATAGTGTTGCTGCCAGGTCAAGTCCACTTGGAGTTTCTGTGAAGCACTCAAAACAGTCAATTACACATCTTACTTTGGGATAAAGCTTTTTAAAACAGTATGGGAGGGTTTTCTTGATCTGTTGTCGACTAGGCCACACAATTAAAACGGAGAGTTCCTTGGACATGAGCTTAACCCAAGTTATAAAAACACTACTGACAGTGGAAGCTGACACATGGAACCTGAACCCCAAATCAAAAGTTAGAAGAGCTAGTCTTAGTTTCATAAGAGTCAGTAAAAACTCCTGTTCAAGTCGAAGCTTCCTCTCTGGCCCAGGTCTTCCTTTGAGATAGCCAGTTGCTAACTCAAAAGGAGAGGGAGGTTGAGACGATTCTTTTCTTGTTTGTTTTCCACCCCTCCAATATTGCATAAACCGAGCCTTTGGGCTCAAATAATCGAACAAGAACTCGAATGCTTTCGGTGATGGCAGACCTGTGTAGACTTTTACTTCCATTTCTCTTGTCAACTGTTCGAATTGCATTGGAACTGAAACGGAGTAATCTGCATCTGCTTCCATTTCTTCATCATCACTATCACTCTCCTCAGGATCCTGCTTTGACTCCTTGGAGCTAGGGAACAGGCTTCTTGCAGAACCAGCTTCTTGTAACTTGTTCGCTTTCCTTTTCTTGGGTGATTTTTTCTGCAGGTAATCCGAAACAGTCATAAAAATAGACGGAAAATCCGTTTTAGGGTTTTCAGGAGTTCTTCGTCCACATGGGAAATGATTTGAACACACGAAAGTCCCACTAGCACCAGGGGAAGGATTGAAGGAATCACTTCGAGTCTTCGCCACTTGTTTTCGCCATATTTCGGCAAGTTTAGGGTCGGTTGGCCACTTGTGATATACTAAATTCTCCACATGTGATCTGACAAAAGCAAGGTCAGGATATCTTTTATCATTATCGCAAAAACCTACCGCACAACGAGCGTGTTTTGGCATGTTAACAGATTATTCAGCCGTGTCGCCATTTGCATTTCATGCTCGGCCGCGCGCTCGCCCCAGTAGTTTTGCACCCCCGGCAAAATGGCGGTGTTAACCTTGAAAAGGTCTAACACTGTTAAGTGCAGCATATTACACACAAAAGTTGATCTTCAGTTTGTTTGCAATGCCTTAAACACTAAGAAGATAAAGAAAATCGAGAACAAACCTTTATATGAAGTGCGATTACTGAGAGAACCGGTCGCGAGCCTTACAGAAAGTCTATGAACTAAAAACCAGTGCGAAATACTACTTTTTTACAGTGCTCGCTTTGCGTTACACGATACGTACTTCCTGTTTTTCAATTCAGCTATACCTATATATTGATCATGATTGAAAGTTGTGGGCAAATAGAATCGTGTTGATTTGCGGATTTAATTACGACACTTGTTACGTAAATGACAAGGGAATAAACTATTAGAGTTTACGCAGAATCACGCGACTTTTATTACAGTACAACAAAGTAATTTAGCACAGATCAATCTTTTTTGCTCCATTTTGTTATTGTTGCATTTCATTCGAACGCAGTTCATATAAAAAAAAAGTGTGTTCAGATGAAAACAGAGGCCTTGATTATTAAGAAGTCTAGAAAGAGGTCAAGACTTACATGACGTGGCAAACAGCGCCCACGCAAGATGCCTTCACGAGCTGGGAGATAAAAATGAACCCGGGCTCATGGTAATTTGATTGCTCAATTTTCGCGTAGAAATTTTCCAACTTGAAGCAAAGTGAAATTTTTAGTGAAGACGCTAAGAGTATGAGAGAACAAGTGATGGATCAGGCAGAAGAGAAATATCGCGTGAGCAGTGGGTGGGTGGAACCTACATCCGTTTCGTCTCAAAGATAATGGGATAATTCACGTGAATCTTATGAATTAAATTCCAGAAGTCAAGCAATGTTAGCGAAAAAGAGTGAGAAACACAGCAGTTCTATGTCATGTTATCTTAGCTAATTCATTTTGCTAGATGAACGTCACTGCCTACACTAAATGCAGACGGAAACCGGCGACCATTGGACTGATCATGAAGAGATATGACTGACAAATGTGACATAATTTTCGAAATTTACCATAAATAGCGTTCATATGCGTGCACCTTAAAAGGCCCATTGTTATGTTTTTTATGAGCGAAATGTTTCACCGTTCAGTCAAGTCTTAATAATTAATGTGTACATTTAAGCGTAATGTACGTCGTTAGTGGAAACTGGATATTACTAAACCCAAAAACTGTGAAAATGGAGAAGGACAGAGGCCGCCGATTCCTGTCCTCGGGACTTTCTAGACCTTTTTACAGAGAGTTAAAAACGCCAGACAAGGGAAGCATTGAGGCTCTTGCATACCTGCACTTCAGGAACAAACGAAAATGAGTCTTAGTTTATCAGAGTTTAAAGTCACTGCCACGAAGCAGTGAACATATAAAGCGATCTGATAAGACGAAAGCAAGTCAGCCAAGCTTAACATACTTATATAACATTGACGTTCTTTACAAAAGCCGCACACTTCAGCTTAGTTATCAATACAGATCAATGCCTCAAAATCCAAATAAAGAAATCATGTGTTAAACAAACCTGTGTTCGGGAGCCAGAAGTAGAGCGTCCGTTTCAGAGGATTCAAAGATGTGAAGTGCACACTGCCTTGTGGAACAACTGCCTTATGCAATAATTTTCAGGAATGACGTCAACGTCTGGGGACGAAGTGCTTCAGTAACTGTCAATTGTCAACCTCTCTAAATAAAGCGTTATTTTTAAGCTGTCAAGGGCCCTTTCTTACGCTTCCTCATATCTGGTGTCTGAATCTTTACTAAGATGTGATCGGGTTTTTTAAAACCGCGACAGGTTAGTCTCAAACACTTGGAGCAAAAGTCTACTTTAAAGGAGGGTGGGGAGAGAGAGCCTTTTCCCAAACCTTCCCCCACCCCCTAAGTAGATTTGACACTCATCCAGGAAGGCCGCGAAATATCGTGTGATAACAGGTTTGCGTAAATGTAATGGGCGTGGTCGCAAAACGAATACAATCAAGCTTCGTTAATACGGACACCAAAGGGACAGATCCTAATGTCCGATATACAGATATACAGGTCAGGAGTTTGTTACCTCGGAACCTGCAATAGAAAAGGTGTGCATAAGGAGAATTTTGACTGTTTATGGGATCCTGAATGGTGCACCTTACAATCCAAGGTTAGTTTCACTGCCAGCGTGCAAGTCGACTTTTGAGGGACGAAGTCGCGAGAAGTTTTTCCTCCTGACCTATTACCCACCCAAAAACGGACTTTAAAAAATTCTCTGCCAGCCTTAAAAAAAAGAAGTTTGCATTCGAATTTACACTCCCTGATTCTCTGTAAACATAGAAATTGATATTAACTACTATATACAGTCTAAATCTTTGTTTTGAGAGTGGTGATTTACACTGGGCAGGCGCGCTCCAGAGGAAAAGAATTTTTAAGAATCTGAAGTTACTGCGGTAAAACAACAAGAACTGAAAAAAAGGTAAAGAGTAAGGTGATGACACAAGTGAAAAGAAATAGTAAATTAAAAGCAGGAAGGAGCTCGCGCTTTCGCAAACAACCGCTTCGAAAGTTATCAAGTTCAACGCCTGTAGCCGGACTTCATAGTAGACAGTACTGTCCTATGCCAAATTAATCGACTACGGTAATGCCGCAACAATTCAAACACTTCAATATCTATACGGTGTCCTTCCTCCGGGTTATATGACAAAAAAATGACTTTACCCTCGCGATACCAGTTAATTTTGTTTTCTTCAAATCTCAATATTTTCCAGTAGGAGGGAAACAAAATCAAATGTTTTACCTGGAACTCAGTCATTAAGTGTTCCGGCTGTAGCAAGATTAATTAACCACTCCTCAGAATTCCAATTACTGCTTGCGCTTGAAGGAAGCTACGTTAATGGAAATTGTACTGAAGACGCAGATTACAAAGAGAAAATGAATCCTAGTCACCTTAGTCGCGAATGGAGTGTTGGACAGTTAAAAATAGATATTCTCAAACTCATTAATAATTCATTAAGAAAATACAAAGGAAATTCATGTTTAATGAGTGTTTGGAAATCGGATGAAACACTGCTTAGTATTCGCATCCTTAATTTCTCCTTCAAAAATGATTTTGTTTGAGAAGAAATATCAAACATTCGACACAGTGTTTCATCACCAGTTCTCAAACTCATTAATAATTCATTAAGAAAATACAAAGGAAATTAATGTTTAATGAGTGTTTGGAAATCGGATGAAACACTGCTTAGTATTTGCATCCTTAATTTCTCCTTCAAAAATGATTTTGTTTGAGAAGAAATATCAAACATTCGACACAGTGTTTCATCACCAGTTCTCAAACTCATTAATAATTCATTAAGAAAATACAAAGGAAATTAATGTTTAATGAGTGTTTGGAAATCGGATGAAACACTGCTTAGTATTTGCATCCTTAATTTCTCCTTCAAAAATGATTTTGTTTGAGAAGAAATATCAAACATTCGACACAGTGTTTCATCACCAGATGAAACACTGCATCTCATGTTTGATATATTACATAAAACACCTCGAAGTTCGTCAAAAATACTCCGCTGCGCGTCGTATTTTCAACTCTCTTCTCGGTGTTTCATCTGGTGATGAAACACTGCATCTCATGTTTGATATATTACTTCAAACCCCTGTTAATTTCCGTTAATCCTGACTGAATACTTAAAATGTATGCTACACTTAAAATGTATCCAACTATATAAGCTCATACTTTATTTCGACACGGTACAATCTTCACCAAAATACAATGACTACTTAATATATGGATTAAGACTCAATAATAACAGCTAACTGAAAAACTGATTTACATCAAGATTGCCGCGAAGGCGGAGCATGTGTTACCATTGGTTTAAACAACTGGTGACTCTCTCTCTTTAAGTGCCCAAGTGTTGCTATTCTGCGTAAGCTCTTGGGCAAACTGTTCCACAGATTCGGCCCATTTCAGCTAAAATTTTGTTTTAGGTTTTAGTGCGCGTAGTGTGCAAATTTGATTTCTTTTCGCATCGTTTAGGTTATACTGGCTATTGATAATGGTTTAAAAAACTTTGTAAATTTCCTACTACATCCTAAACTTATTTTTCAAATGCAAGGATCGATCAATAGCACTTATGTTATTAATAAACTACTCAAGTTATTCAGCTACAGTACAGCTTTTTTTTCTAACTCCAAACTGTAGGCGAGTAATGTCATAAAAAACACGGTACAACAACAACAACAACAATAACAGAAAGAAAGCTGGAAAAAGTAACAAGCAAAGAAATTGATCAATCAAATGATCTCGTGCGCCTTTGAATCAAGTTTTTGCGCACAAGACTTTTCGCAACTGTAGATGTTATATTTAATGCTATGCTCACACTATAGCAGAAAGTTTTTCGTGTTGAGACGAAAATCTATCCCATAATACAGTAAACTTCCTTTACAGCGAACACTGTAAGGACCTCTAGTTAGTGTCCTCATTAGCGAGAATCCGTAATAGCGACAGTTTCTTCCAGTCAAACGTCTGAAATATTTTTTTGCAGGGGATTTAGCTGCTGTCCGTATTATCGGGGTGTCCGTTATAGCGGGGTGTCCACAAGACGAGAATTGACTGTAGTGTGAACACGTATCTTATATGGTACCCAGTCCACTTTAGAGATCGGCGCCGCGCAGCTTCGCTTTGTTACAAAAATGGCGCCGACCAACCATCGTTCTTAAGTGTTCATCCGGTTTGGTTTTCGTGCCTGGGCAAAAGCTATGCGATGTAGTGTGAACATAGACTAAGTTGTTCTCTTTATGATATTTACGCAGTGTCACATTATCCAGTGTGAAAAGTGGTCAGTAACCGATGAAAAACAACACAGCGATCAAATGCGAAAATCCAACCAACTTTTTATACCCTAAGTGAATGTAGCTATGGAAATATAAACCTGTCTGTAAGAAACTACGAAACCGAAAAAATCGGCCATGAAAAACAAATAGCTAACAGTTCTAAATTGTTCTTTCTACTGTAGATAAACCAAATATTAAGTGTCAAAAACGGCTTAAAGTTTAACGGTGAATTTCCACTGTCGCATAATTTTTACGCGCTTTCTCACGTAAAATTTACATGTGTAAATAGAATAGAGGCAATGTATGAACGGCCGCTCGTAAACGTAAAAGTTGAGAGCGAGGTTTAACTTTTACGTTTACGCGCGACCTTCCATACATTGCCTCTAATTTATTTACACGCGAATTTACGCGCGTACGCACGTATTAATTAGGCGACAGTGAAAATCCACCTTAAGGCTGGTTTACACGCACGACGCAAGTACAAGCAACATGTACCCTATACCCATACGCAGATGCAGCAGCTTGTTGATAATATTAACTTCTATTTCCCTACGGAAAGTATCTGCAAATATTGACTATGCTTGCATCATACTGCGTAAACTCTAAGCCTTATCTCCTCGGAAAACACTTCAAAATTTATCAAGAACTGCGCATGCCCGGCACATTTTTCCACTGTACTCACTCAAGCAACATTAACAAGCGGTCGCATGTGAGCGGTGGTGTTAGTGCTTGTTGCCATGACAGCAGTAGGGCCAACTGCAGGTGTAACGAGGACAGCACCTTGATTTGCTGGGCGGGACCTGCAGCAGCAACAGTATATGACAAGAATACAGATAACCAATAAAGGTCCACCAATCACTGCTGCCTTTGTAGCATCGGACAAGTCGTACCACCACTTGAACATCCCTACAACAAAGAACACAGATACAACTTTACTTGAAGACATGTTTAAACAAATTAAGCCCGCCCTCAAACAACATTTCTTACAGATCAGTCTCGCCGTCCATTTCTACCCTCATCCAAGGACAGGACACTGGAAACATAAGGAATAATGTGCCACTCCTCAGATAGAAATGGTATCCACTTTCAGCTTCATAGTTTATATATAATCATATTTGACAACAGATTCTATGACGGTTTGACACCGCCTCTCAACAGTGTTCTGAGACGTTGNGTGCTTGTTGCCATGACAGCAGTAGGGCCAACTGCAGGTGTAACGAGGACAGCACCTTGATTTGCTGGGCGGGACCTGCAGCAGCAACAGTATATGACAAGAATACAGATAACCAATAAAGGTCCACCAATCACTGCTGCCTTTGTAGCATCGGACAAGTCGTACCACCACTTGAACATCCCTACAACAAAGAACACAGATACAACTTTACTTGAAGACATGTTTAAACAAATTAAGCCCGCCCTCAAACAACATTTCTTACAGATCAGTCTCGCCGTCCATTTCTACCCTCATCCAAGGACAGGACACTGGAAACATAAGGAATAATGTGCCACTCCTCAGATAGAAATGGTATCCACTTTCAGCTTCATAGTTTATATATAATCATATTTGACAACAGATTCTATGACGGTTTGACACCGCCTCTCAACAGTGTTCTGAGACGTTGTAACCACTTATTGAGAAGAGGTTGAACTGTTCAAACTTTGTCACAACATGTTATGGTAATGTTCATCGTCAAAAAGGTCCACCAATCACTGCTGCCTTTGCAGCATCCGACAGGTCGTACCACCACTTGAAAATCCGAAGGTTGTCACAAGTTTCTCACAGGGTACGTTGTCACGACATTTTTTTTTGTTCTCGAAATGTTTAATCTGTTTGACACACTCCCACAACGCAAGCGCAGTGTCACTAATTTTCTTTTGCGATAGTGAATATGATCAATCTCTCGTACCCAGATCCCACTTTCTGTTTGGTCAGCACCAAGAACGTCCCGATATAAGCGCATGACAAAAAGGGATCCCTGCAGACGAGATTGAAACATGATTATGTATTCATGTTTGTTGCGACAATGTCGTAAGTGTTTTACCGTGGGAAAAGGCCTGGTTTTTTTTAAGCTCCGTTCCCTGCTTAGGGAAAGGATCTGTTTTAATGGGCCTGCACTGACTGCCTGCAGGACAGTGTGTTGCTTTTAAGATGAACTCTGATACCTGTAAATTTTTCATAGCTAGGCTTCCTTACATCTACGCGTCGATACGTGAGCCATTGTCCTATTTCAGACCTGGTAGCCGACCTGGTATAAATCTTCTCTCCTTGCAGACACTAATAGACCACATTGTGTTTTTAACTCTAAAATTTACGGATATCGTTCCTTTTCCGTTACTGCTGTAGAACTGCTTATATTTTTAATGTAATATGGTCACTACCCAGTCGGTAACAATCTTGAAAATACTTTTTCTAACATTTCAAGTTTTCCTGGCCAATCGGCCACTGATAACTGAACAGCAATTATATATGCATGTGCCATAACAAAATTAATTGAAAGGCTGCATGGCGTTCGAAAGGTAAGGGAAAAGGGAATTTGGGCGCGAGGTTCCCCTCCCTCCTTCCTCGCGCGCCTCTCGCGCTTCTCACGCACCCAAAATCCTCTTTCCTTTCGAACGCCTGCCAAACAGGTGAGTTAATTGACGGTAATTTAATGCAGATTTACTGTGTTCTGTTAGCGTAAAAATTATTTCTTGCGAATGCAAGTTCTGGAATGCGTTAGACACATTTCTAGTTTTAATCATGATCAGCATACCCACCACAATCGTTAGTTGAAATCGGCAAGTCTCCCTCCATCACAGTAACTTTCACAGGATAAACACCTTTGCCCAACACTTTTCCACCGGCCAGTAGCTTCACCTAAAGGACAGAAATATTTCGAACTTATTGATTTTCTTTTTCCTGCTGGCAGAATCTCCCTCTCCAGAGAACTCTGGCTTTTTCTTGTTTAAACGATTGATGTTGGGCGCCGCATGCGTTAGTGTCACTAAGCGCTCAAATTTTCACCTGAGTTAGTTTTAAATTCTGTTGCACATGAAATTAAAACTCGCTAATGAACTTGAATTAGCATTGAATGCCGGGTTGTTCTAGACTATTTTCAGTCTATTGATCATAAAATTGTTTGTGGCCAAAGTTTATAATCCTGCTGAAATTCTTAAATATATTCCTTCACTTTCTTCACTGTTGTTAAAAAATGACAACTTTGGCTGCATGTTTAAACGATCGATCGAGTTTCTAAGGTTTCCCTATCTTGACCGTTGGAGGCAGTGAAGCACTGTTTTTACCTCTGTTTTGATGGACAGCACTTGGCCAAATGAGATAGAAATACGTGACAGTATTCGAATCTCAAAAGGGCGCCGCATCTAAATAAGCACCGCACCAACAATATGAAAATTTTAAAAGCTTTTAATTGTATACAGTAGCTGAATTCACTCCTTTAAAGTATGTCCTGCACTTTAACCTCCATTACAATGGTCCGTTTGGTGTTTGACGTCACATAATGTCCTTTTTAAAATTGAGGTCACACTACATTACAAGTCGCTTTACATGAAGTACTTGCCTTAAGATGCAGTCTGTCCCCGTTGTCTTTGAGTTGAACTTGAACGTACACTCCAGCGGAGAAAATAGAAGGTAAAGATAGAGTAAATCCTGGCACTTCAATGATGTCGTCACTGGTGTAAGTGTGAGACCACGTGACACGCAAATCCGGGACATTCATAGAGGCCGTTACAGTGACGGGTTCATCACATTTGTTAATCTGGTTGGTAATGATTAAATGCCAGTTTTTCTTAGTAGTGAATGATAGTACATTTGTTTATACTGGGTATGAGTTTTATCCTTTATATGGCAGCTTATTAACCCTAAAAGGTCACTGACAACTGAGACAGCAAATATACCTTTGACAACAATTATGATTCATTTACCATTCATAAAACTAAGTTCTTTTAACTGTTCTTTCTTAATAATCTTACTAGGCCCAAGAAAAACTCGAACCTGATGCTAATGAGCAAAATCTATCGTTTTGGCTTACTATTAGCATTAGACTCTTCCCCATGTCACGTGGGCCTTACAATATTAGTAATAACCCACGGGTTTTGTCGGTTATCATTGCGGAGTTGAATCCGATTGACATTCAACTTGACTTACTTGACTTTACTTAAGTCAATCGCCATTTTCAAATTGCCCGGCCTGTATTATACTTTGTTTGCCCGCGCCCCCTAGAATTTTACATGGGCATTGTTTTGAATCACTCTTGGGAAGAATGTAATTAATTATACCCAGTAAAAATTGGAAACAATACTGAGTTATGCAAAATTTTGAGCGGAGACAAACAAAGTTAAATAGTTATGGACAATACGAAATTGACGAATCCCGAAAAACATCATAATACTCTTTAATGCGCAGGCTTTGTCTTGCCCCGATCGTAACTCTGAAGTGAAAACAGATGGAATGCAGGCTTCAGAACCCAAGGAAGACAAGAACTGAACCACTTGTACGGTTGCCTTAGTTTCCAGAGGCGCTGTCTACGCACGGTATGTTCAGCGACTGCAGCTGGTGTTAATCAGTAGAACAAAAGAAATAAACCTCCCTCGGAAGATGAGGCTTAAACCTGTTACATCCTTAAAGGTACGGCAAAACGGGCAACAAAAAGCGTGCAACTTGTTTTACAGCAATGTTGCAAGACAAGTTGCGCGTCTTTTGTTGCTCGTTTTTCCGTACCTTAACCTTACTGGGCGGGTATTTACTGAAAATGACAATTGATACCTTGAGTTTGAATGTGATTGGCTTCTCAACAAAATTCATCTTGCACGTGATCGTGCTGCAGTCGTCACTGATCGTGCAGCCTTCGTCTAGTGTCTGGGACATACCGGAACATGAAGCTCCTACAAAGAACTCATTGTCAAACCCTCGCCATAATGACGTTTGTTAACTGACAGCGGCATTATATAGGCTCGCATCTTGCTTCATATCATTCATTAAGGGCTTTGAACACATAACAAAATATCATACAGCCGAATAATTTCAGTGGTGATAAAAATCATATACCGCAAAGTTACGTTGCCTCGTTTAATACTCGCCAAAACCGTAATTTATTTCAGGAAACAAAAGATTTTAAATACTGGTAAGAATTTTCGTTGAGTTTCAAAAGTTCAAGTCCAACTGTTCGAAGAAACGAGTAAGCTGTTTTAAACAGATATTCCAATCCCTCCAGCAGAATGATTCGCGTTGGATGCCCATGGTAAAAAGGTAAAAATGAGCAAAAGAAAACTGATCAGACAGCTCAAAGCCAAAACCAAAATGTACAAGTCTGTCGCAAAATACTTAAGTAATGATTAAGGGGGAGTCAGGGGAAAAAACACCTGCCGATAATGAATACACCGATCTACTACTGAACTAAAGGCTTCAGAAACAAAGACGGAAGCTTCTGTAGGCATATAATCTGTAAATGCACCTTATACTAACGAAGGAAATAGTCATTTAATTTACGAGCGATATGTCATATGGCTTGCCGATCAGTGAGGTACATTTAAGAGATTGTCAAAGAATTTTAGTGACTCTTCTAGGAGAGGAGAACGCAAAACTGACCGCTAACAGAGACTGATCAGAGGGCATTGTTATTAGACTAGCAAGCAGCGCCTTTATTTACTATTTTAAAGTAGTGAGCCAGGTTAGTAATGATTGAAATGATTGCCACGGATCAGTGTTCGACCATTCAAGTCGAATATCAGTGACTTTCATCACCGTGAACGAGATGCCCGAACTTCGTTGGTTATATACGTAATCTCAACATTACATTGGAAACTATGATCCTATCTTAATCAGATCAGAAATTGCATGATGGTGTCAAAAACTGAATAATAAAAGAATAGAAAATAACTAATTTAGTTTCAAACACGAGGCGTCTTAAAAAATCACAAATTGCGAGTTTGTTGCTTCAGAAATTGGCTACAAAACAAACCATGTTGCAGATCTGTTAATTCCTCAAAAATTCGCATGTTTTGGAAGGCCCAAAAATGAAAGAAAAAATCAGGCGATATGTTTAAGAGACTTAATTTCCTTGTATTTTCAACATGAATTAATAATTTTTTTAGGTCTTGTAAACCAACACGACAAGAACGTAACAACTGTGTTTAACTCGTCTTCAAACCCGTAAGATATTTAAATATCGTTACCAGTCTGTATCAGAAAAATCTAAAATAATAAGCACTGAGCATTTCCAATACATGATCACCTCAGAAGCGATCGTAGATTCAAGATGCCAGTGATTGAGCATTAAACTAAACACTCGGTGACTAGAAGCGAGAATAAAGTTTCTCTATATTTCATAACAACGCATCGTAGTCAAGTGTAATTTCGTGGCTAGACAGGGTGAGATACTGAAGTCCGCTTTTCGGCATATAAAGAAAAATAGTTTATTGGATGATTTCTTAAAACATTTACATGAGTATGTATAGCCGCATCATTTTCTGTCCGGTGAAAGCTACGCTCCTGTCAGTAAGCAAAGTCAAAGTTATTTCACTAGATAGGTCTCTCGAATTTTTGGTAGCCACAAAAAGGAGACGCCATCTGTGCAACGCTTATAGCCTTGTATGCCACAGTGTTATGACAGATTCATTTTGTCTATAAACCACCTGAATAATGTTACTGACCTGCAGTTGAAGAGAATTCTTGAGTAAAAACAATAACAAAAAGTCCAATAAGTAGTATTTCTCTCGAAGCCATTATCACAAATTACCCTGTCTTCAGAGCGCTCATAAGAAACTGAGAAAACTTCAAAAATCAGGCACCCAAAGTAATCACAAATAAGACTGAACACGAAAGTTCCACCGTTCCTCGACCCGTCTTGCCTTAAAGTTCATTGGCAGGGAGACTTGGAACGTTTCCTGTTTGACCGGTTTTGAGGTATTCTTTGAACAGAGGCTAGTTTCTCGGAAATGATTCATTGTACCGTGACGCAGAATAATCATTATTTACTTTCCCCAGAGGCTTATCTTAAGTCCACTTTAAAAAGGGTGAGTTCATATATACTTGTTGAGCATGAGCTGTCTTGAGAAAATTCTTTTGAATACAAACCTTAGCTTTTAAAGTTTGGAATATGTTTGCAAAAGTCTAAAAGCGAACCGAATGGGAAAAGTCGGAAAACGCCGGAGTACAATCATCAAACCTCTTTATTACGGACACCAACGGGTCAAAGCCAAATGTCCGCATTATCGCGCGTGCATTATAAAAACATGTCACCATACATTTAATTAACCGGTTGGGACTGTATGAAGTTCTGTAACCTCGGAATCAAGAGAAACGTCTGCAGTAGAAAATTCTGCATTGGGAGAGTTTCGACAGTAATGGTTATGGTCTCCTGATTGGATAGTTTAAGGCTACTCCTTGGAACTTAGGTTGGTTTCAGAGTTAGCCTAAAATTTGCGAACAGTTCGACATTTTTTGTCGATTGACGAAGTCGCGGGAAGTTTTTCCTCTCCACCTATTACCCAGAAAAAAGGACTCTAAGAAAGTCTGTACCAGCCTCCTCACAGTCACCCTACTATTGCTGGTTTGCACGTGACATCAAGGCGGCCATGTTGGATGAAAAGAACAAAAACATTTCTTTCCTCTGGGAACTTAACTCTATTTTCATGTGAATTCTTCAAGAAAAAATTCTACTGTATTGTCATCCATCATGGCAGCCTTGTCACGTGGTTTAAAACCAAGAATAGCTAAAGCAAAATGTAGATTTAGCCAAGGCTAACAGCGAAGTTCTCGTTTATACACTCAAACAAAAAATAAACTTAAAGCCGCTGCGAAGAAATCTCCTAAATCTGTGCTTAATATCAGTTCGATCACAAACATGTTATCGCGTTTAGAAACAAAAGAAAGCAAACTGCATGTAGAACTGTATTTATCAAAAATCAAAAGGTCTAATTAGCAAAAAAAAGAACAACTTTGCACGTGCATCACGTTTTATTGTTTATTTCTTTGTCGTTGTTGTTGCACAACTACAATGTGAAACTTGACAAACTTCCTAATTAATGCACGTTTAATTATGGATGAAATGTCGTTTGTGCTCAGAACCTTATTTTCATAGCTATTAAGACGCGCACTAGGCAAGTTTAATTTCCTCTTTGCATCCGTTAGGTCATACTGACTATTGCCTTTGTACGTTTGGCACAGTTATAAGATGACTTTACAACATGGTGTATTCTTTTTGTTTGTAGTTGTGACATACCCGGAGTACCACATGATGACTTCAAGTTCAAGAGTACACAAAATGGCGGCAGTCGGGCAAGATTTTTTCAAGTTTTTCCTTTACCAGTAGAAGAGGTGGAGCAAGAACGACAGTCATTTTCAGGTATTTTGATCCTCTTTACTGTAAATTTTTAGTCAGTTGTCGGTTTTTACGGTACTCGCGAGAAAAAAAATGTCATCGTCGTGATCTTCAATCATTTAACCCTCGATTCTTCAACACTTGTTCATCGGAGTGTATGAAGATTAATTGTACAAGTGCACTATAGTATTTTGATCTGCTGTCTAATTCCGCCTCTGGCCGCCATTTTATATTATTTGTGTTTCTTGTCAGTGAGAGGACTGAACCACATTATTTTCAGTCAGCTGGAATGAAATGAAAATGAGGAGAGAGTCGTTTTGCGGCTACAGGCTTGTTTCGGCCCTGAAACACGTTTACTTGGTTCTTTGTTTTATTCGTAAACGCACTTACAAGACGCTAAAAGATGCGTCTAAGACGCCTAATAAATAATGAGCCTCTGAAAATTCCACTGCATTTAAAAGAGTGAAACATTCGGAGTACAGGAGCACCCCGATTGCCACTCATTTTCCATTCGCGGTTTAAATATCCCGCCGCACGCGTGTGAGGGAGGAAGTACACGCGCGTCTTGTCCTTCCTCGCGGGCGCCACCTTCATTCTTACGTGTGCGCCATAATTCTTATGCAGCTACTACAAAGGGAAGGATGAGGTTGGATAAAAATAGCTCGTATCCTTCGGGTAACCAATGCTTTACCATCTGAGTTGGCAACGTAGCAAACAAGTTAACGGAACTTTGTGGAGGTCGCTTGGTATATTAAAATTTTCTCAGGCGTGGGAAATTGCAGTTTCTACTTGTAGCTTATTTTACTACTATTGACCCTGCATAGCGGGAAGGCGCGTGATGAAAATATATGACCCTACATTGATATAACTTGCGCTGCAGTAAGCAGCAAATACGATAATGCTGTTTTTATACAAGCGGAAACAATAAGAGGATAACAGTAGAGATCACACAGCAGAATTACAGTTTTGTTCGTGTCAATAAGTTTAATTGAATATTATTTACAGCAATAAATATACCAAAAATCGATTACAATTCAAAAAGATTAGAATCTGTACAAATCTTACACCGTAACAAGTATGTGCAGAGTGATATTGTCGTCCACGGACTTATTTCAGATTGATTCGAAAGACTGTCTACATTTAGTACGTGTTCGATGCCAATTACTTAAACTTCTTGGTGTCAAAAATAATGAAATGTTATTTACAGTAGTGACCAGATTGTACTATTGTAATACGCTGTTAACAAAAATTTGAAATCATTGAAACGTTTATGTGCGCCGTAGTTTAGTCGCTTATAGACTTGCGTCAGATTCAAGGATTGTTCAACGAAGGGATTGTTGACATTTTGTACGAGTTTAAAGACAACTGGACTTCTATTCTTCATCCCAGGCAATGGCGATTCCAGAGAGAGATGCGTCCCGCTAGGAATTGTACTTTCCGATTGCAATCCACGTAGTGGCAGTTCCGGGCTCAGCGCTCCATACAGGAAAAAATACCCCCGGGATAACTGGAGGGTGTGGTCAGACTAAGAACGTAACAGAACCACTGTTACAATTCCCTGGCCAAACAGTGGCGATCCCCGCAAACCATGAATTAAGAGGGAGGTTTTCATCGAAGGGTGCCAGACCGTGGCTGGATCAATGCACTCTATAGGAATTATACGATCTCCCGCTAAAACCGGACCTTCTGCAGAGAAATAAAGCTACAAATTAGGATCAACCCAAGTGACATTATAGTGCAGCGCGAACCACTAATTACGTACTCATGGCCTTTAAGTATACTGCTCCCTCAATACGATGCCGTTTAGTTTTGCAATTATTTAAAGCACTCATGCAATATGTCATGAAAAGTCCATTCATTGACAGTTGAAGTTAACACGGGAAAATGTCTCCTTGGAAAATCTTACACAACATACCAAGGTGCATTGCAAGGAATCTTTCATCTAAGACCTAGATCCTGACTTTTTTAAAATAATATACGGTTTTTTGTTTGTTTGTTCATAACGGTCGGTTAGGTTTACTTCATAAAATGAAAATGGTTGTAATGCGCAGAGTTCTGTAAGCTAGGGGTCGCTTGTGTCTCATTGGTATTCAATCAACCAGGGCGTTAATCGCCAAATTAACTCCATAAATTTCTTATAGTTGTGACAGAAGCAGAAAAAAAAAACTCAAGTGAGTGCATGTGGTTATAAAGAGTGTAATTCATAAGTGTAGCCATTGTTTACGGACTCTAAAACAATGGCTACACTTGTAAATTACACTTGTAAAAGTTTTATTAAATTGATCCCTGGTTATTTAATGATTCATAATGATCTATCTGAAGGTATGTTATATAAACTATGATAACTGGAAATGTTTTTTAGTTCATAGGAATTGTTGGATAAATGGTTACCATTAAGGTACAGAATTTCATTCAAAAGAAGAATTGTACGCTTGTGCTCCAGTCGCACTTCTCTCAAGGATCCGTAACAAATTTGTTTTAATCCACCGGACCACATAGAGCAAAATACAACTGTAATGCTACGTACTGTTAAAACGAATGAAATTTAGTAAACGTTATGACATTCAACCATTCAGCGTACCTTCAGTCAACGGCAATGCTTTAGACTATTCCCTTTTGATTTTCTTTCGCGGAGGACCTTCGTCACCTAGATTTGAAAAATAAAGCAAGGAAAGATTCAATTTCGCGATTCATTTCGTCACCATTTAGACCTGCTTAAAAAGAGTTGCTATAACGCCACAAAATTTCACTGTGCAACCAAACCACTTCTTCCAAAATTGATTTTGCGAAAAAACTGCAGCGGTCAAAGGTTAAAATGTACGCACAAACACATCATCGCAATCAAACCAAGTTTAACAGATTTCAAATTATACAGAAGACTAGAATTAATTGGAGATTTTAAACAAAGCTCATTGAACGAAATCAGCTTACTTTCTTTTGGAATAAATTGATTTAAATGAGGTCTGCGGCATTAAAACTGACAACGACAGATTTATCTCTAGGTTCATAACTCTTTAAAACCCGTTTCATTGCTTGTATGATGGCACAGGCTTCCAGTTTGCAAGTTGGTATGCCTGTTGGAGTCAGTTTGCCTCCTTATGACCTTTTAGCTATGACCGTTTTATTTGATTGCAATAACCACAATCTTTCATGTTTATTTTACTGTAATTTAAATCTCACACGAACAAGTAAGAAAGACGAAATGAGTGGTAGTCTCCGTAGTCGAGGGGAGTCTCAAAAAGTAGACTATTAAGAACCAAATAGGCTCCTTCCATTTTGTTATAAAGTATAAATAGTAAATCAGTTAACGCCTGCACTTCCCGCTTTTTTTCTCCGTCCTGATATATTTTTGGAGATTCTTCTAAGACACTAAGACAGTAAAACCTGTTTCATATAACCAAGTTTCTGAAAATTTGCTGAGAAACAGACATTATACAGTAGAGATCGGTTTATAAGGACACTTGAGGGACATGACAAATCGTCCCTATTGTCTGGGTCTCCAGAAAAGAAGTACCGAAACGTGGTAAAACCTGGTTCTATTGTAAGATCGTATTTAGTTATTTTTGAAATATCTAAATGTTTACAACCAACCATCATCAAAGGACAAGTGTTTCAACTTAAGCAACTCTTGAATCTCAGTCTGTGAGTGCACCCCCTGTGAAGTAAACAAAGGAAAACATGAGGTTCCTAACCGAAACTTCACTTCAAAGCTTTCATACCCTACTTAATAAAGCAAAATTCAATCTTTACGATGTCAGCATATCAAATAGGTATACCTCCTGTGCGCATTAAATAGGGAAAGAAACGGCTGATAGTTTGTTAATTCAGATATTAAACACCCTTTCCGCTTATCGCATTGAGCAGCTTAATTGAAACATACCTGTCCCACGAAACCCCGTTTCATCTTTGAATCTTTTTTTATTGACTTGTTTCCAAATAATCAATGGCGATTATGTTTTTTTAACCTTCATTACGGGTGTTATTGTCTTACACCTCAGAGCCCAGCTATGATGAATGACGCTCCTATCATTAGGTTTTAGGCGTGTGATCCACACAGGCATCCCAGTGAAGATGAATACTAAACAAAGACCACGAAAGTAAAGGTACGACCTTGAGCTCTGACACTCTTGGGGCTAGCAATGCTCAATAACATTCCTATCAACAAGTTTGTTATTGAGTAAACGACTGATCCATAAAGTCGTTCTCAATAATCCTTAACACTGTTTCAAACTAATATACAAGAACAGCAATATGAATCCGGCCCATCGCTCTCGTCCGGCCTCATTACCTCGTCAATGAGCTCTTCCTGTGTGACTGTAGAAGGGCCAGGACCACTGCTGAGATACGGATCGGTAGACAAGGATCCTCCAGGTGTAAAGATGGTGGATGGGGCACTGTGATGATGGGTGTGGATATCTGGTGAGGAGTAATTCCCTGAATGCTGAACGTGAGGTACCAGACCGTGGTTGGATCCATGCCCTGTAGGAATAGTCGCTTCTGCTAACATTGGATCAGCTGTTAAGGAAAGAAAGGTAGAAATTAGCATCCAACGAGTAGGAATGGATGGCCCTGCTAACATTGGATCAGCTTAAAGAAGAAATAAAGATCTTACGTCACATAACGTATAAAGGAAACCATCGATTTCAGACTGATAGACTTCTAGAACATTTATCCTTTCTTAATGTTATGCCCCCTCGTTTTACTACGTAAGTTTAAATAATCATTAGTGCAAACATCGCTCACTTTAGGTAACACCGGAAAATATCTACATCGGAACAGGAGAAAGAGGATCTTTTCCTTTTAAACGTCCTCAGTGACTATTGTAACTGTTGACATGCTTTTCGTTTCTGTACATGGCAGCAAGGCTTGGTCCGTTAAATACTCATGCCGGGTAGTACTGCGTAGAATACCTTTTTGGTCTATAAACAGACTAATGGATAAACATAGTCCTTGACGTCCGATTTCTTTCATCAAAATTACGAACAGAATGTGACAACAGCAACTTGTCGCACGTCTACACCGCAACTATTAAAAAGAAGGCAATCTCACAAACCAAAACTGACTTTTGAGCGCAACGAACTTATGTACAACTTCTTATTAGTGCTCAGGGCGTTAATCGCCAACAGGTTTTGTTACATCTGTGATTGGGGAGGCAGGGAACTGGGGGGGAGGAGGGGGGCAGGGGGACAAGAAACCTTACCAGTAGGATCAGGAGGCGCTGGAAATGTTCCCACGGTGTCTTGATCGTCAGCGGGGAATGGTGAGTCGTGAATACTGAGGCGAGTCTCTGCCAGAATCTGTGCGAGTGGTAAAAGAAAAAAAGGGCTGATGAGCGTGTTTCAGGCTTTCAGATAGTGGAGAGTGGCACTTTCCACTATCTGAACGCCTGGTGCAGGATAGGAGTTGATAAGCCAATAAGATGATTGAGCAAAAGAAACTCTTCTACAAAGACAGAACCTAAGTAGCCGAACCAATATTCGGTTCACTGGTCGGTTCTAAGCCTCAAGCTCTTTGTTTGCTTAAAATGCGTAACAAGGCTCTAACCAGTAAAGTGAGAACGTTGACATTTTCATGTCATGTCATGTTAAAATGCTGGATGGGCACTGTGATGATGGCTGTGGATATCTGGTGAGGAGCAATGCTCTGAATATTGAACGTGGGGTACACAAAACGCTTCAATCGACCGTCCACGATAGTATGATTATACAAATATTCATTTTACTAATGAAGTCGAACTCGAGAATGCCTTGAAACGGTCGACACGTCATTTATTTTAGCGTTAATTTTAAGGGTAGAAGTCTTATAACTTACCTGGTCCTGGTTGTCTTCTGATTCATATGATGACATTTCTTCAGCTGTTTCTTCTTCAGACTGTATGATTCCTTCCTCATCCTGCCAAAAATCACACACTTAACACTATACACTATCCATTTCTTATCTTTTAGGATCGTTATTTCAGTCTTCATGTACATAACAAGAGTTTTGGTCCCTGATTCAAGTCAATAAAAATTGAAAATGCCATAGTAAATCTAATCTTCTAACAGTGTCACTATTTTCCCTGATAAAGGAACCAAATAATTGACGAAAGTCTTGTTGATAAAAAAGTGAATCTGTATCAAAAATCTAAGATATTAGGAAGAGTAACGTTTAAAGTCATACCATAAAACTTAAAAAATAAAATAAACAACACGTCATTAAGAAAATTCAAAGTAAATTAAAATGTAAGGCAAGTTTTTCAATCTGATAAAACATGGCCGAGAAAAAGGAAAAAAAACAAACAAACAAACAAGTAAATAATAACAAACCCAACCTATCAACTATTAAAAACTCGTGAAAAACACTCGGCTGCACATTCGGCTACTCATTGTGTTTTAGAGCCGATAACTCACCCACTCTTCCTCTTCCTCATCCTCAGATTCAGATAATGAATCGACCTGACAAAAAAACACAACACTCAACATTTCCGAAACGGATTGCAGTCTGTTGCAATATTGTTCGGACAGTAACTTCCACAACTAAAAGACATCGTTGTAAGAGAACCGTCGGTTTCCGTATGACTTAGCTCACTTGTTAAAAGAAGTGAGCTAAGAGTCTAAGACCACAGAAATAACTTGTTATTTTTAGTAAGACTTACATTCAACCACACTGTTTTGATTTGACTGATCATTTTTTATGAAATTGCGACTAGAAAAAAAAAAAAAAAACAGCCTGAAACTACTATGATATAACACACATTTACTGTTCCCTCAGTTTCAGTTTATAATAAGTGAACTCCTGAAAAGCTGAAGAAAAACCATACGTTTTTAAACGGAATGTTTTTTTTTTTCAGTTTTTTTTTTTTCAAGAAATAAGACCAACCTGTTGCCTTTGCGGCTGTGATTCATTTGATGAGTGAGAAAAGAGACTGGGGAACGACCTTTTCCAATGGTTTTCTGATAGCCAGTCATGTTCAGGATTGGGATTCCCTTCACGATCCTACAACAAATCACAAGATAACACTAGCACCATCCAACTTTTAAAGCAACGTTTAAAAGATCGAAAGTGTAGTCTAGATTTTAAGCAATGAAACACATAGGGCAAAAATAACCCCAGGGGTTAACTACTATGTGATGGGGACGTGAATGCTCATCGGACAACTAGAAATTTACCATTAACCCTGTAAGCCCCAATATAAAAATACAAATTCTCCACACTACTGTCCATACATTGCCTTATAGAATTAGTTGAGAGAACTTGATAAAAGATCAAAGTACTTCTCCTTTGTTCATCAATTTAGTACTTCTCCTAACATCTTCTTTTGATAATGTTTTGATATTGTAAAGAGAAACTTCATGTTGATCACTCTTGGGACTTTAAGACCAACCTGAGTAAAGCTCAAGATGATTCCACCCCGAAGAGAGGTCATTTCTACAACACATAGTCAAAGAAGTACTATAGAAATTTCTGCTTGCGACAAAGACGTTTTTCTTCTTTAATTTAGTTATATTTAGGACTAAACAAGAGATTTTGCTCATTTCGCAATCTGCTCCGAAGCCTTATTAAGTTCAAAGTCTTAAAATCCACATGCCCTGAACAGTAATTTCGTCCTGAATGGTCTTGCGCGTACCGCTGCGCTAAAAAACGTTCTACTGAGTGTCTCAAAATTATGGCTTCCTTTCACTAGCGACAGAGTCGGAGTCGGAGTCATAATCAAAAGCGCAGAGCTTGTGTTCGATTCCGCTTAAGTTCCGCTTCTGATGTAGTGAAAACCAGATTGTCAGAGTCGGAAGCAGAAGCGGAAGAACCAAACCAATCACAAAGCGTGACAACGTGCATCGGGATTGGTTTATCCTTCTGCTTCTGCTTCCGATTCTGACAATCTGGTTTTCACTAGATCATAAGCGGAACGTAAGCGGAGTCGGAAGAAATGGAAACGTTCTAATTCTTCGGACTCCGATTCCGGCGCGCTTATGATTCCGCTTATAACCTGAGATCAGGCCCAATTTTAGCGGTTCTCATGCATTCTCTCTAACGGCTACCGCTAAAAAAATCGCCTTGGCCGCCCGAATGTAATTTTCAAAGCGAAACTCAGGTTAGATCAACTCAGCCAGATCTCGGGTTACTCTGCTTACGTCTCCGATTTTCGATTTTCACTAGGTCATAAGCGATCTTACGACTCCAACTCCGACTCTGTCGCTAGTGTAAACCACCCTTTAGGTTGCTGCGCAAGACGTTCCTCATTTTTCCTTGTCAACCCCAAATTTCCGAATTTTTGTGCCGTTTAATAGTGATTAGAAATTACCTACATACAGAAAAAGCAAGGGCTCACGAACTAAAGTCCTGTTCAAAAAAGGAGTTAAAAATGCGAAAAAGAGGGGAAAACGACAAAACCAACAAAAAATGCATCTGACTTCTTGGACGCAACTCTAAAGGTGCTCACATCTTAAAGATCACATTCTACTTTTCAACCCCTAAAATTTGCCTGCAAGACTTTCAAAACAGCAAAAGCAAATAATATACTCTAAAAATGTGCGAATTATTGAAACCTTGGAGCCCTTTTTTCTATTAACTCTTGGTCTGATAAAATTCTCACAGATCAGTTTTTTCTTAGTGGGGGTTGGAAGGGGAGGCGCACAAAAACCTTCGTCTCGTCTGAAGAAACGCTTGCTGCGCTACCAAACGAAAGGCGGGAAAATTCTACCACGTGGGTAGTTATATAACCAATCAGCTCTCGCCACGTCACAAGCCTTCTCTCACGCCACTTTGAATGACAGTTTGTTGATTTTGTAGTTTGTTGTTCACTTCAGTTGAGTTTGCTCTTCAAAGAAAACTTTCAACGCAAAAATACTCAAGATGGACACAAAAAGAATGAGAAAACACCGTACAATGCCAGTTAAGAGAAAAACTCGTCTTATGTGCTCAGGAATTTGTCAAAGGATTTGTGCAAGCTAAAGGAAACTACATTTATTAACTTCAACTCATTCATAAAAGACGCGAAGTGACGCAGGATTTGTTTTGTTCGTCGTAAAACTGGAAAAGAAGTAACCGACAAAAATAGACAGCTTGTACCATAGAGGAGTGCTTTACCTATAATTAAATGTATGGTGTTAAATTTCAACCAAAGTGTCTCAGAGGAATATATTTTTTGTGGAACGCTATCTCAAAAACCTACGCTACAGTGAGGTTATTTACGGGAGGACAAGCATTTACCGAAACGCAAGGGACACTCAAACAAAAGGACAGCTCTGAAAGGACTTCTTCGTTTTCTGAACTCTCAAAGAAACTTTACTTGAGTTTAGCTGATTTTACGAAAATCTTAGCGATAAAAGTGAAACTGTAAGTGGTTAGCCTTTTTTCTTAATTTTTGCAAATTGTTTGTTTGAATTGAGCATGAACAGAACACATTTTTGACTTTATGCTTGTTATTCATCATTTTACGAAAAGTAATGAATTAAAATTGATTGAGAAATTGATACTTTGGAATTTTTGTGTTAATACATATATCACAAGTTTGTTAAGTGAGCTCATATCGAGTTGAACCAGACTCGAAGAGAAATTTCATATCTGCTCGCTGATCCATTATTTTGCATAGTGAAAACACTTTCAGATTAATTTACTTGTTCTCGGTTAAAACTTTTTTTTTGGATTTAGTTTAATCAATTGAAAGGAATGAATTTGAAATGATACTTTGAATCTGCTAAAGTTTGTGATTTGTTTTCAAAAGTAAATCTCGTGTTTCGTCGAGTATAAAAATGACAAAGAAAGGAAAATGGCGAAAGGCAAGGGCTGAGTAGAAATAAACTGTAAACAAAGAATAAAGAAACAAATTGCGATAAAATTGGAAAACTTACGTGGTAGTATGACACCAGATAAGTGATGTTGCCGGGCTGCTTGATGGCTGATGACAGATCCATCACCTGCTGTGGAGTCATCTTCACTCCTACAAGCCACAGATACTTCAGGTGAGGAGCGCAGCTGAGATGTTTAATCAAGCTGTCTACTCCTGCACCCAGAAGAGGATTGTATGACATGTCGAGCAACTCTAAGTTTGGTGCTTTTTCAAATAAATTGTTGATAAACTCCACAGCAGGTGATGATGTTACATTGATACCCAAGAGTGATAATTTCTTCAGTTTGTGTGTTACTTGGATGCTCCTCAGTAGAGACTCTGTTACCTCAGCATCCAACACTTCACTGTATTCATCCCGAACCAGTATCTCGTGTGGAGCGGTGATAAACGGCCTCATCGCAATCATCAGTTCCACTTCTGACCTGTTCACATTCCGAGCTTCAATCCACCCAACCCTGGAGAGACCATGACGCTTTGAACAACAGCTGCTGCTGCTCTCTTCACTTGACTCATCACCATTCATGTTTGTCTTCTTTGTTGTCTCTTGTTTACTTATTAGCGCCTTTATTATATCACAAGGAAAAGGAATGCCTTTACGTTCATCTTTAACAATTTTAGCTAAATAGAGGTGAGTGTTGTTTTCTTCTTTCTTTAAAAAAAAGTCATCAATCCTACGCCATGTTGAGTTGCTTAAAAATTCTGATGCTTTCTTTTCTCCTGCAGAGCTAACAATAACTGCGTTTAATTGTTGTACTAAAATTATTAAATTACTATAGTCCTGCTCTGTATAATCTTTATAAATGCTTTTATTAAAAAAAACGTAGTTGGGTGTTTCGGTAGTTTGAACTAATTTTTCCTCTACGATAACATTTAGCTGCTCTTTATCAATTACAAGAACTCCTCCTAAAGAGGAAAGAAATGTAGGAAAGAGGTTTTTTCTTGTCTCAGCTGAGAAGTTGAAGAAAAAGAACTCGTAACAAACATTAATACAATCTCTTTGTTCGTCTGACAAGTCCCACTGTGACGGTGTTTCGCTGTCGAATTTGAACTCTTTCAGTCCGCTCTTTATTCCAAGGTGAATCACAATCTCGCGCGCGGCTTCTTCTGACAACTGAACAGCAAATTTTAAAACCTCAGTCATCTCTAGGATCTTTTTAACTGAGTCCAACTTTAAGAGGGAATTTGTACTTTCAGCCTTTTTAGATGTCAGCTCTTCTTTCAGGAAATTCGCAGCCAGGTATTCTTGGACGGATTTGTGAATAAAGTACACGCCTTTTTCAGGATTCAAACTCGCCATATTTAAAACCTGAAAAAGGCCGACTTCAATCAGCCTCTCGATCAAACTGTAGCCAGAAGGTAACTGACTGACAGGGAAATAAAGCTGGCCTTGCAAAAGGGCTTCAAAGGCCACGCTTCCTAATGCGTATAATTCATCTGAGTAATCTTTAACCACTGATTCAGCAGACTGTTTTGCACGCAAGTGATCGAACAAAGTCTTAACAAACTGGGCGAAGATGTGTGCGCGTTCCTTTGGTAGTTCTTCACGTGTTGTTTTCGTCCAGAGCAAGCACAAAATTAAGAGAAGAAGGGGAATTTCTGCTAGTCCCCTTAGGTTGTGCTGCTGTAAGTACCTAAAAAAATCTGCAATATCTTTATCATCTTTCAAAAATCTACGAGCGAACTCTACTTGACGTTGACGATTAAAGCCGTCAATTTTGAATTGAGCATCACTAAAATTTCTCAGCGTCTCAGCTTTCATTTCCCTTGAAGTAATTACAACACAACAATCTCTTAATTGGCTTTTTTTCCAGATTTTGAAGACAGGCGACTCGTTTTTTGAACTGTAAACATATTCATCGTAGCCGTCCAAGATAAGCAAGACTTTTTCTTGATGGCGACAAACGTAATCATACAGGATGTCAACGGAAATTGCACCATTACTATCCAGCACTTCACAAGCCCTCAGAATGGACGGAACATCTTGGAGATTACTAACGTCACGTAATCTCACCAGAAGGACAAGATCAAATGCTCCTAATGTTTCTGAATATCTTTGCTGGGACCAGTCAAAAGTTGCTTTCTTCGTGAAAACAGTCTTGCCGATACCTAGGCAGGCAGTAACAACAAACTGTCAATACCTCTTCAATAGATTTGTTTTACTTTATAATAATGGAAAGTCATGTGAAATGGAATGTATATTATATTGAAATGTTCTTTTATTTTCAAACAACTTAATTTTAAGGGAGTTTTTTAAATTATTCTTGTGCGGTGGATAGTTAACAATTTAACAAAGTATCAGTTAATGATGGGTGGCCTCTGCCTCTAAAATTATGCCAAGGGGACATTTTTGAATTCGATAATCAGCTTTGTATTACATCCATCGAAAATGGTGTCTCTTTTACATTATGTTGTCATTAAATTTAATTCTCTCAGTACAGATTTTCTCCTTCCTTGTTTTTGAGTACATAAAGGTAGTTTAGTGTGATATTATGTCAGTTTGATCAAATTGAAATACAACAAAAAATGTTGTTTGGAAAAAAGGTCTGAACGGTACAATGTAATTTAATAAGAGGAGTTTACAAATGACAAATTATCAATGAAAGATAAAGACAATGGAAATGAATTTGTAAACTCAATTATGAGTAGTTGTATGTCTTCATATACAGACTATTTACCTGATATCAAATTAGTCAAATTATATGGGTTGTGGTTCAGTTTTGTTCTGGGATAATTTTTTTCTTTTTATCCCTTTAGCATACATTTAATTAAACTTGAACTTCAGATAAAATTGAGTCACAATATTAATATTCTTACCATATTACTACATTAATATTGGGGGCTACAGTGTATGTTCTGCTGATTGCTCTAAAGCCAATTGTTTTTCAGACTGGATAACTCACAGAAAACTGCAAAACTTTGTTTTAACTTTCAGTCTATTGCAACAGACCAAACTTCCTATCAGGTTTGACAGCATGGTTAAAAATTACCCCACTTGGAATGTACATGCCAGTGAAACACTCAAGAAACATCTACCTTGCCTGAGCTGAAAGACTTCATTGACGCTAACACCTTGTGCAGATTCATTATGTTAGTAGACGAACGGTTTCTGTGTTCTTGTATGTTTTTGCATGTACTTACCCTCCAGTTAAGTTAAGACAATTCTTTACTTAATTAATACTCACTTACCTGGCTGTCCATAAACCAAAATTCTCTTGGGTACAGAATGTCGAGGTTCTCTGTGAGCAAAAATCCCAGTGTAGTGGTTAAGGTTTTCTTGAATCACTCCCCTGGGGGTCCTGTCATCCATGATCCAAGACAAGTCTGTGTAGATCTTGTCAATATGAACAGCAGAGTTCTGGTCCCATGGAATGATTTTGACTTTGCTACTGGTTTCATAAAGTGATTGCAGCTGTTTCTGGCACTCCTTAAGGCATACAGCATCTGTTAATAAGGATTTTTCATCAATTCCAAGTTTTTTTCAATAGTTTATATAAAGTAGCTGATTGACTTGATTAGCAACCCTTAATTACCAGGCCCCAGTTGTTCGAAAGGTGGATATCGCTATTCACTGGATAAATCACTATCCAGTGGATAGTGCAATTATTGGTTTCCCTAATACTTATCTGCTGGATAGTTATTTGTTTGGTGGATAGCGCTATCAAACATTTGAACAACCGGGACCAGGAGGGACAGACAAAAAGTCAATTTACAAAAACACAAATAAATTAATAAGAGAAAACAGCACATGGATAAATGATTGCCAAAAATAAATATTTAAGGTACAACGTAAGAAATGGTCAGAAAAAAAAATCCAAAACCTTAACAGGAATCAAACCCACAACATTCCAGATACTGGTGGGATGCTCTAACCACTGAGCTATGGGTGACTCATATGGTGAGCAAGTCATAAGTTATTTTGTTGAGGTAGCGTAGGTGGGTGGGTGGGTGGATAGACTGAGACTATACCACAACATCATTTTCAATTTTGTGGATTTCCTTAGACAGTTCCTAAATTATTGAAAATAATTCAAACACAGCTGAAACAAAGACAAGAATGTTTCCAAGAAGTTAACATTTCCCATCTGCTCTTCCTTCAAAATAATTTGATGATGCTAAATGTTTTCCCAAAAACATGTCTCGCCAAAAAGAAGCCTAGTAAATCCCTAAGATAAGGCAAAAATGGGGCAGGGAAAGTGATAGAAGTAGGGAGGAGAGAAAGAAACAGCAGAAAGTTGAGGGGGCTGTGTCACTTTTCAAAACAACACTTACGTTAATTTTATTTTAGCATAAGGAACAAAAGGCAGCATAGTGTTGGACTTACAGCATTTTAAAAAATTTTGGCCAATCTTTTTGGCCAGATAGGGATCAGAACGCAGATTTAAAAAATGAGCTTCAAACAGCATTTTTCAGCAAATTTCTGAAAAAGGGGTTATAAAATACCAGGCAAAAATAGACTGCTCTTGACAAAGACAAATCTCACAATAATAAGAGAAAACTGTGCTCTAGATGCAACAAACAACTATATTGAAAGATTAGTGTTATTTCTACTGAAACCTGCAGTGTTCAATCATTTAATCTGGAAAAACTCCTGGATATAGTGTAATTTCATTGACTGGATAGTACATGTACCTGGTATCTGCTTGTCTGGCTTTGTGGTTGTCTGTGGCTGATTCTTTGCTGTCAGGTCTGTAAAGAAAAAAAGTATTGTAAACTTGAAAAGCCCCAAAATCAAATTTTTCTTTTGGCCTTTGTTATTTTAATATTAATGTATGATTTGAGTTTGAAACAGACAAAAAACGTGAACCAGTTTACATAAAAATATCTGAACAGAAAAGTCATCGATCACTATTACAGAGTGTCCCAAAAGTTCGTTCCTCTAATTTCATGCACTATAACTTTTGATTAAAACTTTATTTTTACATGAATTTTCTAGAACATGTTTATTTCTCTATTGAGTACATGTATTCAGAATTTCAGTAACTAGCATGCCCTTTTTGTTTTGTTTTGTTTTGTTTTGTTTTTTTATCACATTCTGTGGCCGTTGCCATTTTGAGCTTTTTCATCACCTGCCAGGTGCGCAGGAGCCAGATCAGCCCCCAAACAATATTTGTTTAGTAATTCAAGGCAGCTAAAAATATATAATATTATTTTGGGCATTCATCCAAAAATGATAATCATCCCGGCCCCCTTTCACAGCAATAAGGCTTTTGTACTTCTTTACAAATTTGACAAGAGCTGGGCATTACTTGGCAGGCTTAAAGTACAGGGTTTTTTTGCCATCTCAGGGGCCTCTATAAATTTTAAACATTCTCTTTTCATGACCCTTTCTGGACTTGGCTTGCTTGAGAGCTTCCTTGTCGAGTCTCCTCTTTTGTATCTAACCTTCTTTAAAACTATTTTAGCTGCTTTAATTTATTCAGGACTTTTTTTGGTCTTCCCGTTCATTTCTTGCCTTCAAAACCTTCATTTCTCCATGATCATTTTACCACCCAACAATCGGATATTTCAAGCTTTTCGGTAGTTTCTACAACAGATATAAGCCAGTAAATCGAAGTATACATGCTTTCACGATATTCACAAAAAAAGAGGAAGGAGTTCGAGCATCAGGCTATAAAATACAAAAATATGTGGCTGGAAAATATAATTGTGCACGCGCGCCTTTGGCCCGAAAGAACACAAATGGAATATTCGAGTCAAAAGATATGGCACAGCAAATACGAGAATAGTGAATTAGATTGAAAGACACATTACTTTTCTTTAAATGAATGCTTTATACCGAGTCCAATCGTACTGAAAGACATACTTATAAAGTAACTTATAGCGAACTTTTGGGACACCCTGTAATAATCAGTCACTAGAAAAGGTTGGGATGTGACATACCTTCATAGTGAGGCCATTTTTTAAAAACAACAGGGTCATTTAACATGTTGGACACAACAGAAGCTGCCATGATAGAAGCAAATGACTTCCAGGACTTGTCAGGAGTGTTGCTATCATCAGAAAAATGTGATATCCCTTTAACAATCACCCATTCGATGTTCATATCATGGGCTGCAGCAAACAGTCCTGTAAGTGGAAAGAAAAAACAGATCATACAATATGAAAATGACCCTTATTCAATCCACTGTGAACAAGAATCTAGAAGAGCTAATTTTTAGCTCAAAATATTTCTCTGAAGTGTAGTGACTAAAACTGATCATCTTTTCGGCTTAATAATTTAACGTTCCCTGCACAATAATATGTTACAAGCTGTTGCCGAGGGACAATTTAGAGTTCCAGACCTCAAATCTAATTGCTACAAATTGTTATAATAGTAATATATATGCATATAATCTTACCTTCTCCTTCCCTTTCAACTGCAATCACGTGAGATTGAGACTTATGGCGTTGTTTGGTGATGAATAACTGACTACCACATAATATGACACTGTCACGGTGTACCTCAGGTACTTCAGTTTCTTCACCGACTGGATTTTGTAATGGTGGCTTCCAGCCTTCACTTGCAAACAAGTTAAGGTTGCCGATATTTCTTTTCACTGGAGCTGTGATTTCTTCAGTTAAAAGTCTGGAGGATAACACTACATCCCCTAGTTTGGTGGCTTGGGGGTTTAATCCCATGCAAAAGCCAACCAAGAAAGCAGCCTTGGGTCTCAGTTCCCGCACTGCATTCATAACAGTGACTAGAGAGCCACCTGGAGCAGAACAGCCTTCATGACATCTCATTAAAGCAACTTTTAGTGCCTCTTCACCACTTCCACCCATGGTCCCAAAGTACACGTATCCCAGAGTCTGGTGAAAACTTTTAAAAGAACTTTTCAGGAAAGTATAACAAGCTAAAAACTCGCAGTCTTTCACTGTCAACAGAAGAATGTCAACAGGAAGCTGGACATCACTCCAAGGTTTCGACATGTTTGGAAGATCTCTCATTTTAGGCACTTCAATACTTAGAGGTGGAGGTGGGGCATGATTTCTTGACATCTGATGATCAGGATCAGCACCTCCTTTTCTTTTAAGGTCTTGATGCTGCGCCATTGAGTCTCAGTTAAAGATTTCCCTATTAAAGTGTGTAAAATATGATAATTATTAATTTATAACGATCAGCACATTTTTTAAACTTGAACAAGTTAACAAAACTTAAATTGTTGAAAAAATTATTGTTGGAGCTTAATTTATGTAGAGTCAAACCTCTCGCTATTATAAGTGTACACCACTGTGACCAGGAAAGGTGTCTACCTACAGGTACAAGATTAAGGTGTTGACATATTATTTCAAATTACAATGAAACCACGCAAACCAAGGCCACAACCTAGCAAAAATTTTGAGACAAATTTTACCCAATCACAAGTATAGATCTAAAACAATGAAATTCTGCATTATTATATTAACCCATTCGCTCCTGGAAATTTTTCCGAAAAACGCGTTTTGAAGCTAGTCGAGTGGTTTTCTGGTCACTGTCGTGCTATAAAGAGCTAAAACTTGCCACAAACCGGTTTACGGGTTGTACACTTCGCGGCCTTCTGATCCAGATGCAAAATATCAGCTTGCGAAGTTCGGGCATGCGCAGAAAGCAAAATTTCGAGATAGTTTTTGGGTTTAAAAGTGACACAGCAGTCTTGACTGTTACTTTTCGCTTTCTCTCCTCCCTTTTTTTTTCGCTTTTCTTGCCTAATTTTTTTTCTCTTGCTGGGCATTTAGTAGGCTTCATTTTGGTGGGAAGAGTTTTTAGGAAAGCTTTTAGGATCTTAGGATTAGGTGAAAGGAAAGGTAGGTCAGCAATGGAACAAGATTTTCATGGAGATTTTCAGGTCAATGTCACGTGGTTTTTTGCTTCTTTCTCCGGTGTCCTTGACTGAATTGTGCTCATTCTGGTATGGTTTGAAAGATCTCTTCACTCTGCACAAGTTAGCGAAGAAAGTTGTCCTTGACCGTTAAAACTAATGACGTCACAAAGGGTAGAAAGGACCTATGGATCCGCACGGGCGGTTACGGGCGGTTCAGGGGCGAATGGGTTAATCAAAAAACCTAAAAATGGCCTTTTAGAGCAATCCCGACTAAAGGTGACGGCTGCTTATTTCACGGCAAATGGCACAGTTGATTTATACAAACATCATGATTCCTCATTTATTTCATTTGGAAAAATGGTTTGCAATGTATTTTGAGCTGGCTCTGAGTTTAATTAAGTGCAATTTAATTGTTTAGATCTCGACTTGTGATCGCCTAATGTCAAAATTTTTTGTTTAAAAATTTTGTCTGGGTAACCTCAGTTTGTGTGGTTGCACTGTAAACACAGTGCTCAAAGAGGTCAAACATGCCTCTCAAATAGCTGACTGCATTAGTTTCAAATAAGTTGTTAACTCTGAGGGTAAGTTAACAAGTTTATCTACTGTAATCTTGTTTTTCTAATGATGGGAGTTAGGTTTTTTTTATTGCAATCAACTTATAAACTCAGCTGAATTACCTCCTTTGATAGCTTCACACCATCTAACTTACATAAATCCTGAAATTAAAAATTGTAAAGATGACATCAAATTATGAGATAATACCCCATTTTAAAGCCAAAATTATCCATTCAAACTTTAATTTTATTAAGCTTATGGCTCAGCCAATTCCAAGTGACCCATTCCCCTCCCCCCCCCCCCACAGGAGGGGGGGGGTGGCTTTTGTCGGGCTTTTGTCATCTTGTCGGTCTGGGTGGGGGGGATTTGTCAGAAAACCTCTGCCCGTGGGTGGGGCAATTGTCAATTCTTCTGGAAGCGGTTAACACCATTCTTTTTTCAATACCTCATTAAAAAATACAGTTATTGCCTAATTTCATACCGTGCGGGGACCAGGCACTTCCAGATTTTCCCTGACTTTTTAAATTCCGGATTTAAAGTGACTTCCAGTGGCTAACAAGGGATTTAAAAACACTGGCTTTAACATAACACCAGAAAGTTCACTACACTCAGTAGCTTTCACGGACATTACTCTCTTGTCGACAGGAATAATCCAGCCAATTTTAGTCCTTCTGCACTGCCCTTTTAATTTCCTTCAGCATACTTGGCTAGGTTTACGATAACTGGTACGTACACGATTACATCTGTGTTCTTGCCAATGATCCTCTCTTAACTTTACAGATGCCGGTGGAATTAAGCAAAGGATCCCCCTGTGCTGTAGAAAATTTATAATGTCTTGGATTCGAGTGACCTTTTCATCAAACAATAATTGCAGTTGCTAAGTGCAAAGTGGCTTTAGTCATAGGACTGATAGGACAAGCTCTTTCTTCTTGCTGAACTGGAATATTAGTTTAGCTTCAGGGGGGCCTTCCAGAAATACTTCAGCCTTCCTTGCTAAGTTTAGGCTGACTCTCTGAGGGAATATTGATCAATATTTCTTTGAAAATGACATGCTTTCTTTGGATTCTTTACTCTGACCATCCACAATTTTGAAACTGATGGACTTTTAAATATTAGTCCAGGCAAAACCGGTGGTGATATAAAGGCCCCCATGCGGTAAGAAATTAGGCAATTTAGATAGCTTTGTAAACAATATTTTTAATGCCTATATGCTTTAAAAAATTATGCATGGTTTTTGCTCTATCACTTCCCTACCCCTCAGTATTTTTTGCATCCGTTTTTTAAATTAGAAATTGCCTCCCACCATCATGATCAGCTCGCACATGGAGGAAAACAATCAATGTATCATTTCAAGAGTTTAAAGGAAAAGACACAGCTTCCTTTGCACGTGAATTTGTCGAGGCAGAAATAGCCCCCGAGCAGGCCTCACTAATGAGCAAACTCAGGGAAAATTATTTTGGCGGTGCGAGGAAAAGTGAGTTTGCGGGTGGGCTTAATTGATTAATAATGGTAATTGAACTGAGTGGAGTGCAATTTGGTCTGAAATCATACGAGTGATTTCCAAATCGAACAAGCGCGCAGCGCGAGTTCGATTTGAAATCACAAGTATGATTTCAGACTAAAATTGCACGACACGAAGTTCAATTACCACTTTATTACATCCATTTTGAAATCGCAGAAATTAGTTAGTACTAATATTTTATTGATCAAGTAGCCGGTTTGTTAAAAAGCCGAAACAAAAAGGCTTTTACATCTCATTTTGTATTCGAAACAGAAATGATGCGATATAGAACAAAAATGGTGCGATTTAAAACTGAAATGATGCGATTTAGAACATAAAGGACGCGATTTGGAAAAGATGCGATTTAGAGCAAAAACTGGTGCGATTTAGGAATAAATCACACTGCTGAGAGCCAATCAGATTGCACGGATAGCCAGTGATTTCAAAGTGAATGTAATAAGGGGTGTAACAATATTCATATTCCTTGCGATTTGATTCGATTTTGATTATTGCCTTTCGATTTCGATTATTTTGATTTGATTATGTAACGGTTTATAAACAACATGCAACCCTTAAACCCACAATTTGAGAATAGTATTAGGGACAGGGGGATTCACAGCCACTTGGTCGTATTTGTGCCATATTTGAGAACCTGACAAAGAGCATTTTGCACCTGGTTTGCCTTATTTGGAAATTATCAAGGGGTTGTCAAAGGACAGCATTTTTCCAGTCAACACTGCAATCGTCTTTGCTCATCAATCAAAAACGCAGATTTTAAAGAGTTCTGCATTCTGATTTTACAATATAATAACTCACTGACAGCACCCTGGAAAAGGTATGCAAAACTCAAATCAAAATCGAAACATGGAAGTAAAGAATCATGGATCGAACTGAGCTGTCATAATCATGCAAAGTTAATTGAGAAATTATTCAATTAATCGTTATACCACTATTATTCATTTTTGAATTACGCCCTTTCAAGGTGTCAAGATAATATCCAATAGGAGCAGCAAATGTAAACAAATTGACAGAAAGTTGCATGTGCAGGTGTTGTGCTAAACTGCATCAGAGCTCAAATCCAGTCAGAAATAACACCAAAGAAATCAATTTGCGAGAAGCAGACCACTTACATTTTGACAAGTGGCAAAAATAACATATGCTCTGTAAAAATTAAGAATCCCCCCATAGCATTATCTACCCGCTAGAAACAGGCGGCTTTTAAACGTGACCTTGCGTAAATGACCTCAGTGTGAGTGAGACAAGTGACAAATATAGGCTACTGAATTTGCTTAGTCCAAATCAAGAATCCTCCAGAGCATTAAATAATCTACCCACTGGAAAGAAAACTGTTAATAAAACTAAGCGGCATTTGAGGCTAGAGTAGTGCATGCAGGCCTACCGTCGCTTTTTATCACTATGATATGTTAATGTTAGAGCCGCGTGTCCATGGTTTTTGTCATAACTATATTGCCTGTCGATGCCTGTCACTTTTAAACAATTAGATCACTGTGTTTGTCAGTGAAGGTGGGGTATTCAAAACTCAATAGCTCGCCCATTGGTGGGTCCACCCTAAAAATTTTCCCCATCTCGCACAAGTGAGCCTGCTCGCAGGGTATTAGGCAGAGGGGCCTAGAAAACTCTGTGAAATATTTGAAAGCGTAATACAAACTTTGTGTATTGTACAATCAATGTGACAATTCAACAGTTCCATTGTGATTAGAAAATATTCATGTAAAGTGCATTGGTTGTTTTTTAATCATTCACTATATTAAACATCTCCGAAAATAAGAAAGGTATTATTAAAATTCTAATAAAAATTAGTTTATAGTTCTGTCATTGAGATTAATCAGATCAATGTGATCTTTTTTGCAATATTTATAACTTGCGGCTAGGAGAGATTTGCGTAGGGTGACGTGCGAGTTTGGTCAGATCATTACAGATTTCCCATAATATGGTTTTTGCAGCTTATTTACTGGAAAATGCAATTTTGGTGTTTTCCCGAGGTTGGGCATTTGCACCATTGGTTTTTGTATGAACACCCAGCCCCACCAGGGGGCATTTCCATTTTTTCCAAAACAAAAGTACAAGTGCCCAACAAATGTCCAGGTGGGGGGGCGGGGGATGGAATTGACTGAGCATTATATATGGCAGTCTCAACCGTGAAGTTCCCCCAGGTTTGTAAGTCAAACACTCATAAACTATTATCTGGTTCAGA